CACAGATGCTTAATTTTTAATGATCAACCAGTGAAAAATATTACAGGATCAGGTACACAACTGCACTTTCAACTCCGGGATGGAATAGTTTTGTAGATTGTGGCGATCCCCATGATGAGTAACAATACTTGTGCTTAATTATTAGCCATTGATTAACTTTCTTTGTAAATAATTTGTCTTGTAAAGTGTCGCAACTCTCTCTAAAATGTTTGTTGCCTCAGGAATACAGAGGTATTAGAGTGAAACGTGAACCATCACGTCTGACACCTTTTGTAGATAAACTCAGGATTTTACCTCAAATCACTTAGCATTGTAGGCAATGCATTACAGAACCTGGTGTCCAGCTGGGTGGTTAGGGATCAGTTGTCAGCATGTAAATTTCATGAAGTGTTTGCTGAGGGAAGATGATTCTAGGATAGTTTTTCTGCATAGCTCCATTTTATTTGTATTTTATATTTTATATATTTTATTTATTATTATTATTATTTTATATATGCAAAACAGAAAGTTCTGCGAGAAACAATATCCTTAAGTATTGTTGTTTTTCTAATTTGGTGCATGCACTATTATGTTCAGTAGTATCCAATCTATGTATTTTAATCGATTCATACTTTGAAAATATATAGGAAGAAATTGTACCTGGTTGTAGATTTACACTATTTCCTTAGCATTTCAGAGTTGTTGGCAAACTGGAATTCCGTTTTAACATTGAAGCCAGTTTTCTGTAGTTCTTAAAAGAAAGCCAGCTTCGTAGACTGTATTTTAAGAATTTCTGGTCTTTTTTTTGACAGCCAGTTATCTGACAAATGTCAAAGGTGCAGTCTTGTTCCTGGTTCCTCTGTTGTTATTTTAGTACGAGCAACCAGGAAAATAAGGACTGCCAATAGAAAGTATGGTAGAACAGCTTGCTGCAACAGTAAAATCTTGCTAGGTGTTTTGGAACATGTACAGCAGACACCCAACTGTATCACTGTTGTTAACATTTGCTTACTGCAGGAATTCAAGCACAGAACGAGTGCTGCTTGTGGGTACATTACAATAAGACAGTTAAGTGCTACATAATGATAATAATCCTTGCATTTGATACAGCGCCTTTTCATGTTGTTGAATTATCTTGAAGTGGTTCACAAGATTTCACTATATACTGTAGTACCATGATTGTATTTATGGGCAAATGTGGTAGCCAATTTGCATTCAGCAATGTCCCACAAATAGTCTTGAAGTGATAATTTTTCTCTAATAACTATGTTTCCCCTGCATTGGCTTATTTTTGCTTATTCATTTTCTTTATTTCCTGTATTTTCAGAAATCATTTTTTATGAAGTCTGATGGAAAAGCAGAATTGATGTACATGGTAGATGTACAGATATGGTTCATTGCCCAGGATAACACACATACAATTATTTATTTTAAATGAAAAATAGCTCTCTCATTATTTTGCACAATTGCCCCATTAAAGAATGATTGTATTTATCACGCTTGTAGAACCTCATATTTCCAATATTATTTTCGGAACAGAAGAAACACAACAGAGATCACATAACTCCAGAATGCAGCACATATTGTATTTCCCTTGGTTATTGTCATAGGTTTTTTTAAAATCAACCCACCCTTAGCTAAAATATAGATTACACCAAAATTCCCAATGCAGTGAAAATGGGTCATTTGTACCCACATTATTATGTGAAAGAAACATGACTGTATTAAAAGAAAAATGTGAATATTTGGAAGTTTTTTCTCTTAGATGAGAAACTCATAGTGAGTATTGTACCAGGAAGTACAGTTTCAATCTTTTCAAGAGCATAAATCTAAACAAAGCTCTTACAAGACAGTTTGGATCTATACTTGGACCGTTTTCAATCTTCCGGTAATTAATGAGCAAAAGTTACGCGCAATATTCAACAAATGAATAACACATGGAATATATGTATTTCCATAAAAGGTTTTAGCAGAGTGGCTGAAACAATTGCCAAAATTGAGCCATGGTATGCTTAAATTATTGTACTACCATTTCTACCCAAGTACTAGTTGTTCTCAAGATGGGAAGAAATCGAGTAATGCAACACATATTCAGGAGGTTGTGGGTTGAAGCCCATGTTGGTATTGGGACTTCAGTGCTGGGGTGTGTTGCATTGTCGGAGGTGCCGTCCTTCAGACTCGTTAAACTAAGGTTCCATCTGCCTATTCAAGTGGATGTTAAAGATCCCATGGTACCATTCAAAAAGAGAAGGGCGTTTCCCTCGGTGTACTGGCCAACAATCCCCTGAATAAAATTGGTCACTCGCTCCATGGCTGTTTGTGCTGATGCCGTGTTTTGCTGACAAAATACACAGTCAATCTACTTTACAGTATATCAACATGATAAGGCACTATATCAAATGCAAGGATTATTATTAATAACAAAGTCCTTTTCAGTAATTACTGTCAAATGTACGGACTGTTTTGTAGACAAATGCGGCAGCCATTTATGTAGAACATAAAAGCCATGAGATGAATGACTAATTAATCTGGACACTGGGAGAAATACCCATCCCTTTTTGTATAGCGTTATGTCAAGGGCTCTCCAATTGTCCACCTGAATAATAGGCAGATGGGAAGGAGTTTCTTTATTTTCAATTCACACCTGCAGGAAAAAAAATACAACTGGCTCTAGAAATATTATTATCCCAATCCCAGCATGTTTGGGATTGCATAGCATTTTTTAGAACGACACTATTTTACATTCTGCTGCAGGACAATCAAGTAACATATTATTTCAATTCAGTGTATTTAGATTTTATGGTACGAGTGGAGAGTTCGAGTGGAGATGGTAGACATACTGTTTTGTTTGTGGAGGAAACCACAGCAACATTTCCACTTAAACCAGAGAATTTGTCTGCAGATGGTTCCTATTTGCTCTGCTAATTGTTCCGAAATATTTAAAAGTTTCTGGGCTGAGAATGTGTCAAGAAACCATGAGAATATTTTTTTTAAATTCAGTGGTACCGTTTTACTAGAATATGAAACAGAAATCATAATCAAGAAAAAGGACATTTTACTAAATATTTTACAGCCAGGAGTTGCAACTTCCTCATAGATTTTCTCAGAAGAAATACAGAAATGTTTCAAAATGTGGTTTAGAAATTGATTACAACAGAGACTGTGACTTAACCATTTGAACGTCATGTTTATTTACCACAAGGTGGTTCTCCTGAGGCAATGGTTGTTAGGATCCACTGTTGTGGCTGCAATTTCCAACATGGCAAGTTTCCAATCTCACTTGTAATATGTGAGGCAAGTGGTAAGAGGACACCCAGCACTTCCTGACAAGCACGGTGGAATTATTTAGTTAACTTTAACTGTTGACAAGCAGCCAATTGTGCAGCAGTGTTGGCTGAGGCCTGGGGGAAAAGTCAATTACCTGCCATTTCAGTCAAGGAAAGAGACTATAGCGCAGGGAGAGAACAAACTGTGGTAAATAAATAGATATCAAAAACTCTCACGTGCATTACAGCATATGCATTGTTTTCATCACGCTAAATACAGTTTTGTGATATTGAAGGCAAATTATAGTTTTATTATTCCAGTAGACTAAATGCTGCCTTCTGAATCTAGCCTATGTGTTTCTCTAAATGGATGTGAATAACGTTCCTTGCATTTGATATTGGACTTTCACGTCAGGAAAGACGTCGCAACGAACTTGAAGGTCCTCACCTATAAATCCCTTCATGACCCAGCATCTGCCTATCTCCGTGATCTTATCCTATCTAACTTTTCCGCTCACCCCCTTTGCTCAGCTAACTAAGATCTATTGCATGTACCCCAGGCTCTCCTCGCCACCATCAGTGGCTGAGCATTCAGCTGCTACACCCTTTACCTCTGGAATTTTCATGTGGTGTAACAAATTAATCTTGCAACAAAGTTGATAATCCAAATGTCATGATTAATTTTTTAAAGAGATACAGGGATGGATTAGCATGTTGGAATTCAATAATAACAATAATCCTTGCATTTGATCTAGCGCCTTATCACATCTTCGAGATATCTCAAAGGGCTTCACAGAATATACTGTAAAATTGACTGTGAATTGACTGTATATACGTGAGCGAAACGCGGCAGCCAACTGCGCACAGCAGCGTCCATCCTTCAAACTGTAGTGGACTGAGTGAACAAATTATTACCCCTGGAGAAGCAATCCAGCAATTGACTAACAAACGGGTGCCTACTTACTGCTAGGTAAACAGAGGCGTGCGGAGTCAGGAAACTTGCCCAATGTTTCGCCCTGCCTGGGAATGGAACCCAGGTCCTCTTGCATGTGAGGCGAGGGCTCTACCCACTAAGTTACAGGACTCAACAATTTTAGGCTTTGACTGTTGATAAGCAACTGGCTGATTGTCAACATTTCAATGTACTTTTTCAATGTACTTTTTCACACAATGAAGTGGGATTTATATCTCAGATGTACAGCAACAATGACTTGGATTTATATCGCGTCCTCACATCCAGAGCGCTTGACATTGGCGGAGAACAACGCCAATGTCAAGCAGGCAACTAGTAAATAAATAGATGCCCCAGGAAATCCCCAGAAAAAGGAAGATAGTAAAATAGACAGACTGCTCTTGTTCAACTCTTACCAGCTAGATGCAGTGCGACAATGTCAAACTCCAGGAAGCTGGTCACTTATCAGATAACCTACCCAGTGAAAAAAAACTCTTATCAATGTTTCTGCTAGCACTGAAACAGTAAAAAGAATTTTGCCAGTTAAAACAAAACAACCATGAAAATTGTTGTTGCTTAAAAGGCTAACAGTAGAAATTTGTGTTTCCCACATTCAAAGCATAAAATCAACAGTATAAATCAACAGTATTCCACCATACAATACTACTCTAGAAAGTATATTGTTTTGCTAAATTGTTCATAGCTGGCTGCATCATTTCCAATTTTGGGCAGGCTTAGTTTCTGTCAGTTATAAAGACTGACATGTGATTTCACAATTGATCTGCCCACTGGCTAGTGTACAGTATTAATATCCCTGGCAGCAAACCATTGCTTGAAGATTAACATCCTTTCAAAGAACAGTGCTGTTTTGCAACAGCTTGTAGCACATAACTTAAAACAGTTGAGCAGCATCACCGTTTGTGAAATCAATTTTAGAAATAATGAAGACTGCACTTGTATTCCTGAATGTTGGGCTAATAGTGTGCATTGAGAAGCCTTTGGGATATGGTATCAGCAGCTTTAAAAAAACAGAAAACAAGGTAAATGGAGCCTGTTCGATTAAGTTGAAACCTGCCGAATGCAGTGAGGATAAGAACTGTGGTTATCAAGTGAATCTACCACCTCTCACTATCCAGCTGCCAAAGCAGTCAAAACTGCTTGAAAAGACAGTCAAGAATTTAAATAGTCTCACAGCAACAGTAAACAAGATGAAGAATAAATGGATGGGCGAAAAAAAGAAAAAGATTACTATTGACAGTGAAGTTGCTGATAGCAGTGAAGTTAATGACAGCGGGCTGGAGAATGACGACAGGATAAAGGTCCTGGAGGAGAAAGTTACCAAACTGGTTGTTTCATTGCGGAATGCAAAGAATCAGATCAAAGTGCTCCAAGGTCGCTTGGAGGGGATGAGTGACCTAAATTTGGACAATATGATGATCTACATTAACCATGAGCTTTCAAAGATTAACTCTACGGTCAATAGACTAAATAACAAATGTTTCACAACTTGTGCAGCTGCATCTCAACCAAGTAAGTCAACCAGTGAATAGAAACTAAAAAAAATTGTAATTCACCCATTGTACAATTAAAACATGTTTAGTAATCTGTTTGTTATATGCTTTAAAGTCAAAATTAGTTCTGACAGTCTCAACATTTTTAACTTATTTTCTTACGTACAGTTAAAACAGATGCAAGCTTTAAATTTTAGAACTATACTTTATTGAGGAACAAAATTCGATATAATAGAAAAGACTTCATGCACAAAAATATAGATGGTCAAGGCTTGTATGGTAACTTTCTTTGGTAAACTTTCACAATCTGAAATTTTATTCAAATTAAGCATAATTTTGTCATGAGAAATATACACAAATGTTTGCAGAAAAACATCTATCATTTTATTATTGCATGTAGTTTCAGTGAAATGTCCTCTAAATGATTATATCCTCTAAATGATTAGTCCTGTAAATCATAAATATGCTTATTTTCAATATCACTTGTTTGCTGGGTATTTTTGAATAACATGAAAGGCAGTCCTAAATATATTTGAAACTACAGTTAATAATCAGGAATTCTGTTTCCTCAACTATTTGAAATGTACATTATGTGGCAACTCCCCACTTTCCTGTACCATAACTTGCTGACCTTGTGGGATGAACACTGGCCAGTCAATTAAAATCCCATTAAACAAAGTTGCTGTGCGCTGCCGCATTTTTCCCACAAATTATAGCCAATTCACTTCTGCAGCATATTCTATGAAACGTTTGACGATGTGATAAGGCGCTATACGTTTCGCCCACAAATATACGGTCAATTCACTTTGCAGCACATTCTGTGAAGCGCTTTGAGACATCTAAAAGATGTGAAAAGCGCTATATCAAATGCAAGGATTATTATTATTATATTATATCAAATGCAAGGATTATTATTATTATCAATATGTTTGCCTGCCTACTAAAATTGGTAAATGTACCGACAAGCATGGAATAATCCCAATTACTGCATTATGGTTAACTTTTAAAGCATGATCACATAGAGAAATGCGGAGAGAGAACAGGAAGCCTGTCAGTTAAGTATGAGAGAATGACTTTCCTATTCTGTGACCCGTCTTGAGCAGAACATTATTATGAGCTGTGGTCATTTTGCTTAAAACAAACTACAAAACAACTGGATTCTCAATTACTTGCTTAAACAGTGGAATGGCTGGGAACACTGTGCCCCACATCTGTTCTGAGTGCTCATATTTGATTTTGATATTCTCTTTGACCCCTTACTCTGGTGATTTGAGTCAGATTACACTTGAGGGGCAGACAGAGCAAATTTAAATGTATATACAAAGACAGAAATCTCCACAAAGTGGAATCTCTCTATGTTGATGATTGATTCTGTTGTATAATGGACCATACTAAGTAGTATGACATTTCTTTGATATTCTTAAACAGTGAAATACATAGAAAATGTAATATTTTAATAAAATTGCCTATTTAGCCTAAACTAAATCTTTGTCAATTACATTGCTTTTGCAGCACTTTTTTTTTAATCAATGAAAACAGCACAATTTAAAATAAAATAAATTTATGAATATAGTTAAAATCCCTTCCGTCATTTTATTGCAAAATACGGTTATTTCCTTGCCCAAAGCGATTTCCAAATAATTATGGTTCCCAAATCCATAATCTTCAATAAACCAAACTTGGACAATATTGTGACAATGGATTCAGCTTGTTTATAATTCTATGTGTGGTTATAATGCATTATGTCACGCAATCATTAAACTGAAACAGACCAACTGATTCCATTCAGATTGGAATGTAGTTGTTATCCATTTACCTGATCAGAAGAATAGGAACAAGGTCCAACTTGACCAAATTATCATGAGTAGGATAAGTTTTTTCTTATACTTACAACTAACATAACAATTATTAGATGTCAATCTAATACTTGTCAGTTAACTCATGGCACTGTTTGACAATAATAGGGAGTTTTCTCCCAGTGTCCAGGCCAATAAACCCACCAAATAAAATGAATCATTCACTTCATAACTATTTGTGGGACAATCCTGTGCACAAATTGGCTGCCATAGTCGACCACAAAATACACAATCACTACACATTACAGTATATCATGTGAAGCGTTTTGAGACATCCTTCGGATGTGAAAGACGCTATACAAAATGCAAGTTTTTTTTATTGAATGTCTATTATACTCTGCTTCTCCTGAACTTATGCCCAAGGCACACTACATATCTTGTATCAATTGAATGCAATATTTTCAACTGCAATAGTTTATTACTGGTGGTTCATATCGGTTTGTAAAAGGTATAACATACACAGCCTAAACATGGACAAAGAAAGTGTGCCATGTTACCAGAAGATGAAACCTCCAGATGTTCACAAATTGATGCCAAGTACAAGAACACTTAGATGTCCTAAGTATCTCCATATGTTATTCAAAAATTCCAATTTAATAGTACAGCTTGAGGATATTATTCTTAGTGGATAAAAAATGCACTAATTTTGACATAAAATATGTTTTGAAAAAAATGAGTGGACATAAGGGCCAAGCTCACTGTAATATAGTGTCATAGCTATCTTTTCCTGTAGTATTTGACTGTTCACTGTTTTACTGTCAAAGAAGGGAGTATTATCATAACACAGCTTTCCTCAATAAATTAAATGATTCCTCTTTATAGTGTACCATGTCATGGAAATGTTATTGCAGATTATCACGGGGCTTGGAAACTCCCCAATTTATCTTTGATCTTATCCTTTAGGACATAAAAGGATGTTAAAATGAAATCTTCTTGTTCCAAATAAGCACTTGCGGTCACCTCCACATTTTTCCCACTCAGCATCTGACTCTGTCCTTGTGAAGTGCTTGACACCTTATAATAATAACAATCCTTGCATTTGATATAGCAGATCAATGAGACATCTCAAAGCGCTTCACAGAATATGTGAAGTCCTGTAGCTCAGTGGTTAGAGCACTCGCTTTGCAAGTGAGAGACCTGAGTTCATTTCCAGGCAGGTCAGGGCGAAACCTTGAGCAAGTTTCCTTACTCCACACAGAGCCTAATAATAATCCCTCCAAATCCAAAAACAATAATAAATTGGTTATTTTCAATCTACGACTGTTTGTGGGACATTGCTGTGCGCAATTGGCTGCCGCGTTCGCCCACAAATATACAGTCAATTCACTTTAGTGTGTTCTGTGAAGCGCTTTGGGACGTCCTTCTGACGTGAAAAGCGCTATATCAAATGCAAGGATTATTATTATTATTATTATAATATATAGTAAAGTGAATTGACTGCATATTTTGTGGGAGAAATCCCCTAAAGTGTGGTTTATTAATCCAAGTTGTTGTTACTAAAGCATCACTGTTGTCATGAAAACGTGTTTTGAATTTGTAGAGAGATGATGCAATGATATAAATGTGTTAAGGATTACATATGACTCACTTTTTTTCCGAAATTCCCCCCTCAAAAAAACTTGTTTGAAACACTTGAAATCTATCCAGTTCTACATTGTAAGGAATTTTATCCCCAAATCATGACATGCTTAACAAAAAATGATTAAATGTTTCATGTTAGACCTAGTGTTAGACTTGAAGTCCTGTAGCTTAGTGGTTAGAGCACTCGCCTCGCAAGCGAGAGACCTGGTTTGATTCCCGGCAGGGCGAAATGTTTGGGAAAGTTTCTTTACTCCACCTCTGTTTACCTAACAGTAAGTAGGATCTCGGTTGTTAGTCGATTGGCGGATCACTTTTCGGGAATAATAATCCTTCAAAAAAGAACAATAATAATTTAGTCACTCAATCCACAACTGTTTGCGGGACACTGCTGTGCACAATTGGCTGCCGTGTTTTGCCCACAAATATACAGTCAATTTACTTTACAGTATATTCTATGAAGCGTTTTGTGAAGTCTAGAAGACGTGAAAAGCACTACATCAAATGCAAAGATTATATATTATTATACTATTTTTGTAATCCATCCCCTGCTTTCCAAGCCATTTGATTGTTTGGAAAGTGACATTTGGAACACAACTGAAGCATTGATTACAGGTGTGCAAAATACAACATTTTTTTCTAACATTTGGCAATATTTTTCAGGGCTAAATACAAAATGTATACATTAATTAGTCCTTCTTCCCCTATAACGATAGCATTTGATTGTGCTGAAGCAGAACCTTAGAAATGAATCCCCAATAACATTAGATTTAATATTATTCAAGCTGTATTCCAAATGTAAGTGCATTTTCCTCTCATTTTGTTGTGGAAGCATTATAAGAATAATTTACTGACATTGTTTCATATTTGTTCTTTCAGTAGAGCAAAGGTTTCAGGATTGCTCAGGTTATTATTACAGGGGATATCGGCAAAGTGGTATCTATAAAATTGCTCCAGGCTTCAATGAAGAATTTCCCGTTTATTGTGACATGCAAATCCTGGGAGGTGGCTGGACAGTACTGCAGGCTCGCAAAGATATGAGCGTCAGTTTCAATCGTAGCTGGGAAGACTACAAAAAGGGCTTCGGGAACCTGTCAACGAGTTTTTGGCTGGGAAATGACAAGATCCATCTTTTGACAAGATCCAGGAACATGACTTTGAGAATCGAGCTCGAAGATTGGGAGGGGATCAAAGAATTTGCCAAATATGACCAATTCCACATTGCAAACGAAAGCCAGTTTTATCGCCTCACAATAAAGGGCTACTTTGGCACAGCGGGCGATGCCATGCATTACAGCAAGCACTACAACCACGATCAAAGGTACTTCACTACTAGAGACAAAGACAATGACAGGTACCCTTCGGGCAATTGTGGAGCCTATTATGCCTCTGGCTGGTGGTTTGATGCTTGCATGTCCGCCAACCTCAATGGAAAATATTATCGAAAGAGCTACAAAGGTATTCGAAACGGGATCTTCTGGGGTACTTGGAACACTCCGAAAATTGAAACCCTGAATGGGTATCGGCATGCTTTTAAGTCAGTAAGAATGCTCGTGAGGCCTATCGCTTTTGTGGAGTTATAGGTATGCGATGTATATGCTAACAGATTCTCCCAACAAGTTAACACATGAAATCCATAACTTAAAACCCCTCGCTTGTTACTAAACACTTGTAAAAAAAAATTAAACTTCTATCTGAAATTTGTTTGTATATTAACCTCCTGCTGAGAATGTCACTTGAAATATAATTAAGAGACTTATGCCTTGTTATTATCAGTTAGAAAATAATATAAATTAATGTTGGAAATGAACAACAGGTCATTCAGAATCTCAAACAGGAAAGTCAGGCTAATATTTTGGCTATGCCTCCTCAAGGAAAAATACGTGCCAAATCCAAAATGTTACCATGTTTTTCTTGTTTAGATTCCAATAGACTCTCTGTACATTTTCTGTTCTTTTCTAAGATTTCCGGAATTCATAGTAAAAGAAAGACATGAAAGACTTATATGTACATAGAATTTTAAGCTTAGATAAAGGTATTTCTGCAACTAGGGAAGTGTGAATACTGCAATTGCAAAGAAAGATATTTAGGATCTTTCTGTTTGCGGCTGGAAGAGTATTGTCAGGAGAGTCTGCTTTTTTATATTCCCTTTATCAGGGAATTACAACGTAATACTTAAATTAAACCTACTTTTCAAACTTTACAGTCAATTCACTTTACAGTGTGTTCTGTGAAGCGCTTTGGGATGTCCTCCCGACGTGAAAAGCGCTATATCAAATGCAAGGATTATTATTATTATTTAGTTTTGTTATGAATTTCACTTTGATTCACATTTACTGTTTCTTTTACAGAGATTTTAAAAATAGATTAAATGGCCTTTTTCATTTGAAAACCAATAAACAATCAAAAGCTGATTTCAGCAAAAAGATTGCATTTACTAATACTGTAAATCACTTTATAACTTCATTGTTTTTCCACACAAGGATATTACATTTAACAAATATTACATTATTAAACAACACAACACTATGAAGTAGATTTTGACTAGATGTACAACATAAGATTTCTTAATGGCAAATTTCTTAGTAAACTGGAATGCTCAGTCATGGCAAAGCTTTGTAGGGTCCTTGTTGAGGAAATCAACGTATAGAATATTGTGCTGAAGTATTGTTTTAGAAGATGTTGAATCAAAGGTCTAAAATGGAAAGCAATGTGGATATGACTTGTTTTTATTATGATGTATTTACAAGCGTTGGTACTTGTAATATAAAAGACTATGAAGTTGCCAAATATATTTTTCCATAATTAAAAACAGGTGAAATGCTATGATATCTGTGTGTCTACTCCATTTATATATATATATCTTAATTGTGGCATTTAGCCTAAATTTCTCTTTAAAGGTGATCTAGGAACTGTTTCTGTCAACATATTCGAGACTGAGATCGATTTCTTATTGCAAAAGGGATCAAGGGATATGGGGATAAGGCAGGGTTATGTTATTAGCTGGAGTTAGGTTAGAAGATCAGCCATGACTGAATGGCGAGGCAGGCTCGGAGGGCCGAATGGCCTACTACTGCTGCTACATGTTATGTTATGTTATGTAAGAGATAATTGTTTTACATATAAAACTGGGTCACGCTCATTGCCAAGGCTCACACATGACTGCTTTATTAAGTTACCAAAGGGAATTTATATGGAGCCTTTCACGTTTGGGAGGACGTCAAAAAGAGGTGCTGTCCACATGCACCCCCTAGTGGCCTGTCACTGAACGGCGTGACTGAACGGTGGAAATTTGAGAGCAGGTCAACTGTCCCAACAACTTGGTCAAGGGATTGCCCGCTGGAGAGAGACTCGGAAAATGTGGAGAAAAGATGAAATAGCTTAGACAAATCCGCACAGGGAAGATAAAATGATGAAAATAAGAGGTAATTATTGATAAAGATTGCTTGTGAAAAGGAAATCATTAATTGCCGACTTACATAACTACTCGTGGATTGATTTATGTCAGAGGTCCAATTTCCTTGTGTACCTACCATTTAGTGAAGCTTTCGTTTCTATTTTAAGTGTTTCACTAAGCAGAACATAATATGTCCTCTTCCCTTAGTGACTACACTATCACTTGAAAATTCAATCACAAAACACATGCAAGGGGAAAAAATGCTTACCTCATCCAGGCTCTGAAAGGCAGGACTTGCAAACACGTCTGCAGGTATTTCATCTTCAACGTTAACGACTGGAGCTACAGCTGCAATAGGTTCATCAGATTGTTCTTCATCGGCCTCTTCTGATTCAGCAGAGTGAATATTATCTTCAGTACTCATTTCTTTAGGAATCTGCATTTAAAAATCACCTTAAAATAAAACTTTAACTTGCATTTATATAGTATCTGCATTTAAAATAATTTTAAAATGCAACTTTAACTTGCATCTACATTTATAAAATAGTAATCCTTGCATTTGAAATAGCGCATTATCACATCTTCGGGACATCAAAGCTCTTCACAGAATATACTGTAAAGTGAATTAACTGTATATTCTGTGGGTGAAAGAAGTTAGCCAAATGCACACAGCTGTGTCCCACAAACAGATGTGGATTAAGTGACCAAATTGCTGTGTTTTTTTATTTATTCAGGCAGTAACTTTTTTATATTTGTATTTATATTTCATGCAGGATAACGTCTTAGAACACTGTTCACAATTCATAAGGAAACCATGTCTATCTCATTCTTTGTTCAAGGTGCAAGGTTAAATTCTGAATGCACCAGGGCTGTTGCTTAATTGGATCAAAACCTACAGGTAGTGGAATTTTCTTGCATCATTCAGAATATAGCTGAAATAAGACAAAATAATGCCTATTATTAAAGCACCATGGCGCTGAACTGGTAAATTTGATTTCTATACAATATTTTGTAAACTAAAATTAAATGTATATAACCAAAATGTTATAATTTGGTAAATATATGCTTTGTTTGGAGTAAACCAACAAAGTTCAATGGCATTCCTCGATTCAGGCAGTAACTTTTTTTTAATTTTCCAAGAATCATCCCCACCCAATGAAATTTTATGGAATCACAGTACTGCATTGTACTTCAGGAAAACTTCAGTTGTTTGATTCATTTCAGTGGCTTGAAAATGTGTGCCATGGAGCCTTTTCAAATTATTATAAAAAACAATGCACAACATATTGAATTCTCTTTTAAAGAACCACATTTCAGAATAAACAAGTGGTGATATTTGCTGTCAAATCAGCTCAGCGTGTATTTAATCTCAGATTTACAAATTTAACTATGCCAAATATAGTCAGAAATGATCATTTTCACTTGACGCAAAGTGGACCGTCAAAGGATGAACGTTGCCATGGCAACCACTGCCCTAACATTTGAACAACAACAAAATTACATTTGTATGGCGCCTTTTATAAGTTAAGAGGTCGTCCCAAGGAGCTGGGGTTCGGGATCAAGCAACACCACCATAAACATGCCAGTAAATAAACACAGATTTTTCGGCAGCAAATGTTAGCACCACTTGGCGCGCATGAGCAAAAATAAACCATACGACCTGGTCAGGGTGAATAAGAAGGTGGAATTGAAGCGTAGTGATACGGATAAACAATTCGAGCATGTCACTTGTGGCTTGTAACCTGATGGGAATCAGGAACCTTGCAATTTACCACAGGGAGTTTATTAATACATGAAATACATTAACATTCATGTATTCATACATTCATGTATTCATTCATGTATTCATATTCATTTATTAATACATGAGCTACGCATACACACACACACACACACACGTGTGCTTATAAATCACGAAGAAGGTGGAACAGGGGTCAATAAAAAGAATAGGAGGAAGAATTACATGACGAGAATCTGAGCGTTTGTTCATCAGCTTCAATTTATTCAGTTGGCCGCAAGCCCCGCGTCTCATCATCATCATCATCATAATAATAATAAATAATCCTTGCATTTGATATCGAGCCTTATCACGTCTCCGAGACGCCTCAAAGCGCTTCGCCGGATGTCCCGCAAAGCGAATTGACTGTACATGTGGCGGGCGATACGCGCACCGGCATCGCGTACCGTGTACTTCTCGCCGACCTCTTCCGCCCTCGTACCTCCGAATCGCACCCGAAGACCTTCCGCTCCGACTGTGCCTACGGTCACCTCCAGCCACCGCCGCCGCCCCAACCCCCACACCCCCCAACCCCCAACCCCCGGGCTCGGTGCCGCGCTCCTCCACCGGCCAAGCGCTCTTGAGACGCTGCCCCACACGAAGGGCACCCGGGGGTGGATGGGTGGGTGGGGTGGGCGGGTGGGGAGGGGGTGGGGGGGGGTCTATAAATGCAAGTTGTTGCTGTTGTTGTTGTTGTTGTTCTGATGGTTGCTACGGCAATCACAGAGAGCCACTCCCAGTCCCCCCCCACCCCACCCCACCCCACAGCCGTGTACCACCGGCGCGGAAGCGAACCCACTCTCTCGCCCTGACCGTCCCGGGAGACATGTCGCCGACCCTCGGACGTACCTCACGGACCCCGGTCGGCCCACCGGTCTCTTCCCGTTCAGGGTCTGGGCTCTCGACACCGTCCAAACGGCGGCTGTTCCCATGGCAACCGCGAGCCCCGTCCCCGCCCCGCCCCCCTCAGTCAACTTTGGACCAATAGCGAGCCGCGGGACAGCCGCGCGCGTGTGTGTGTGTGTGTGTGTGTGGGGGCGACCGTAACTTATCGCTAAGTTGACTCACACCCCGAGTGAGGAGGAAGGTTTATTCCCGCCCCGAAAAGTGTCGCTGTTCACGCACGAATTGGCCGCAGCGGTGGTCTGACGCAGTGTGAGGTATCAGCCGTCTTTTTCTTCGAGGCTGACGACGGCAGCGCCGAAAGGAGGCCGTCAATCGCACTCTCCCCCTCCCCCCCGCTCTCTCCCCCCCCCCCCTCCCCCCGCTCTCTCCCCACAGCCCCGCCGCAAACTTGTCCTCCCCAAACAATCATCTAATCATCTGACGCCTTTCGAAGCGGCCATTGATAAATTCAGCTCAGAGCTATGGTTTGGGATTTGCACCGAAGAGTTTTTTTTTAAACAGGTAACGCGGGCACCTCAGTGTATCGCCCTGTCCGAAGGGTGGCGCCTGTTAACTCGCAGTTGTTGTTGTTCTTGTTGTCGTCGTCTTGATCGGGGGAAGGGGAAGACGGGGCCAAGTCACGAATGCAGTGAAATGGGCCAAACTGACAGCCGCGAATATGACAAAGGATGTCAAGGTTTTCAAAGCACTAACCATCCTATATGTAATCGTCTTTTTATTTAAAGTAAGATAAGTCCACGCTATCTATCTCTCTCTATATATATATATACATATGTATTGCAAGAAACTCCTTTGAGGTACAGCATTTGAGCCTTTTGAGAATTTGACACAACGTGAGCGAACTCCTGGGGATGTGCTTGTTGTTTACGGTTCACGGTCGGCCAACCCCGCAAGTCCAGCGCGCAGCACGACGGTCATTGTAGTGCGGAGCATCGGACGGCGTGGGCGATTTGGCGGCCGCGCGAACTACAACTCCCAGAAGCCCGCGCGCCCCCCCCCCACCCACCCCATCCCATCCCACGCGCGCAGCACCATTTGAATGACAACCGCCGCGGCGCGCGGCAGTTGCTGCGTTGACAGGAGGAGAGAAGCGGAGAGAGGCCGTGAGCGGAGATGTTTTTCTCGGCGTGGCTCCGCCGCAGGTGGTGCAGGAGAGCGTGCGGGGCGGCTTTAATCGAGGCAGCCGGCCCGCTGAGGCCTCCTCCTCCGCATTGGGCGGCGGCGGCGGCGATGACTTTGAGACCCGTGTCCACCACCCGGCCCGCGGGCTCCGGGCCCAAGCGGGCGGCGCTGAAGCGCTGGACGCTGCTGGTCGACCCCTTCGGGTCGCTGAAGGTCCGCCTGCCGTGCGACGTGTCGGTCAAAGCGCTGGATCCGCACGGCTACCCTTCGGCCGACAGGGCCTTCGTGGCCGTCACCTGTGCCGCCGGCCGGAGCACAAGCCGCAGCCCCGACGACGGGCTGACGGTCGAGTACGACGAGACGCTCAAGCGGATGGTTGTGGGCTCGGACACCCTCCCCGGTGACGTGCGAGTGGACGTGGTGGTCCCCCTAAAGTTTGGTGAGTTTATAGCCACCATAACGGTAGCAGCAGCAGCAATAATAATAACAATAATGCTCCTCGCACTTGATGCCGCGCCTCATTCACGTCTTCGAGACGTCTCGGAGCGCTCCGCGGAAATTGCACCGTGAGGCGCGGTTTAATCGGGTGGTTTTTTTGTGTGTGTGGGGGCGAAACGCGGCGGCCGGTGCAGTCCCGGTTGTGGTTCGGTTTGGTTTGGTTTACTTGGCATCCTCCGCGGTTTTTGGCTCAGAGCGCCACCCCCGTAGCATCCTTCCTGTTTTACTTGCTTCTTGTGGAAAAAACCCACGCGCTCCCAATAAAATTGTTGGTTCACGTTATTTTCTAGTGGTTCGACCACGCGCCTCGCAAAGCGAGAGGGCAGGACCGCGAGTTCGATTCCCAGCCAGGGCGAAACCGTAGGCAAGTTTGCTTGCCGCGCGGTAAGTAGGAACGTGGCTGTCGGTTGATTGGCGGATCGCTTTCTCGGGGGTGGTAATCCCTCCCCGAAAAGTAGTAGTAGTAATAATAATTTGGGCACTTCAATCCACGACTGTTTGTGGGGACGCCGCTGTGCGCAATTGGCTGCCGCGTTTCGCGCACACAATATACAGTCAATTCACTTTACCGTGTATTCTGTGACGCTCTTTGAGACGTCTCAGCAACATGATAAGGTGCTGTGTTAAATGCATGGATTATTATTTGCGCACTCCAGCTTTGGGCTCATAGTCCTGTCAGACTTTTTACTTCCTGTTTTTGTGTTCCAATAAAATTATTTTACAGCTGAATAGATTTAGCATAAGACCTGTGTTGTATTACAGAAAATATTACTGATTTAGTATGTGGTGTGTGTGGGTGTTTGGGTGGAGGCGGTGGTGGAGTCCGAGCCAGGCAAGTCTGCAATTTAGTTGGTTATCTTCAGCAGTTGCCATAATAATAATCCCTCCAAAAACAATAATAAATTAGTCATTTTCAGTCTACGACTGTTTGTGGGACATTGCTGTGCGCAATTGGCTGCCGCGTTGGCCCACAAATATACAGTCAATTCACTTTACAGTGTGTTCTGTGAAGCACTTTGGGACATCCTCCCGACGTGAAAAGCGCTATATCAAATGCAAGGATTATTATTATTATACCGCACACTCTGGGGTCCCCAAACCTTGGCTCTTGCGTTAATATTTTGGCCTATTACTCTCTGGAATTGGATAAGCCGGATGCGTAAAAGAGAGTGCACATTCCAGTCCAATTCCCATGTGTAGGTGGGATGCATGGAACTCTATTTGGTTTGATACTGTTAAGCATCGTGATGGGTTTCTGCATGTGCCAGACATCTGGCTGACTAAAAACAGTCTTATTGCGTGATGTGATCTGTATTTCAGGTAAAGAAATGTTTATTTGTTGTAGCTTGGGTGACTTAAGGTTTTCTGTTTTCAGTATTTGGGCGATTTTTTGGTATTTGTCCATTTTCAATTACTCACTATTTAAGGGTGTTTCATTGCAATTTTTTAAAAAAAAAATAATAATCTTGCATTTGATATAGCGCTTGTCACGTCGGGAGGACGTCCCAAAGCGCTTCACAGAACACACTGTAAAATGAATTGACTGTATATTTGTGGGCGAACACGGCAGCCAATTGCGCACAGCAATGTCCCACAAACAGTCGTAGATTGAAAATGACCAATTTTATTATTGTTTGGTTTTGGAGGGATTATTATTAGGCTCTGTGTGGAGTAAGAAAACTTGCCCAAGGTTTCGCCCTCTGCCTGGAATTGAACTCAGGTCTCTCACTTGCAAAGCGAGTGCTCTAACCACTGAGCTACAGGACTCCACCTGAGCTACAGGACTCCACGAAAATGCGTATAAGTTAAGTATCTGCACTAAAACAGTTTGAGCAGTGTATTCAATTCTTAAACCAACAAGGATTCTGGGCGAGTTGGAGAATGGAAGGTCAAGAATGGCTGTCACTGAAAGAATACATTTTAGTGTTTTTTCAGTGTTAAGATTTTTCTACATCTACTACATTTAAAATCAGTCTGTTACTAGTTAATCTTCTGCTGTTTATTTGCAGACCTGGATATTGGTACCTCTCATAAAGGATGTGTTAAAATTAAAAACATGGAGTGTGATAATTGCCAGGTGGACACTGAGAATGGGACTACCATCTTGAATTCATTAAAGGTGCAAAATGTTTTCTGTGAAGGAATGTGTTTATTACTGAATTTTTAAATGTCTTTGTTTGAACTTAAGCAGCGAGTACTAGTAATACCATTGAGATATTGAGAAACTAAACCAAAGTCCAGATTTTGATTGTTCATTTGGATATTAGAGATCCCCTGGTATTTTCTCAGCCTTTTTTTTCCTTTTCCTGGTTAAACCACTTGTTTATCCAAGTTCATCAAAAACAAACTAATTTATCAATCATCTTGTGCTGTTATGAGGTGATGCGTGTGCATATTACCCTCCTGTTTCCCAACATAACAACCACTGCACCTGCAAAATAACCTGTTGTGTCAAAGGGATGAAATGCAATTTCAAAAAAGAATATTGACTCGATCCACCCGCTCCAGCTCCCAGGCTTTGAGATGTCTTACTGATATGAAAGCCACTATGTAAATATATGTTTGTATTGATACAGAATTGAATTAACAGCTCAATAAACTTATGAGGCAAAACTCACATTTTTTTCTTTTCAATCTCCAGGCCAATACTGTTAAAGTGCATAGCAGAGGAGGGAAAGTGATCTGCCTTGGAACAATCTATGGGAACGTGGATATACAGACATCTAATGTAAGTCCTTTTCTGTCATGGTATAATACTCATTTCTATTAAGTGTACAAGTGGGGTCTACCTCCTCTCCTTTGTAGTATTTCATCTGAGTCCAGCCCAGAGCTGATTAAAAATATGAAAGTAACTGGATTGCTTCTCTTTGCTTCTCCATTCGGCACCACTGAGCTTCCAATCTTAACAAAATGCAGGATATGAGAATGCAAAAGGTGAGAAAATTAATGCTGACTTTACTGTCAGAAATCTTTACATTGCTGACTGATGGTTCAGATTGAAACATCCCAATTTATGTTATTAGAATGGCTTCCTGTAGCAGATCTCTGGGAGGAGGGTGGTGAAAATAATGCAATTATTTTCTTCCCACAACAACAACCACAAATTTCACTTATATAGCGCCCTCCACGCCAGACGGCGTCTCAGAGCGCTTAACAGTGGTGGAGTCCAAGGCCGAGCCGGGGGAGGGGGAAGGTGACTGTAGCTGCGGTCGAAAAGGAAGGCCTTCAGGCGTGTCCCGAAGATGGGGAAGGAAAGGACGAGGCAAAGCGATTGAGGGAGGAAGTTCCAAAATTTTAGGGGCATAATGGCTGAAGGCATGGCCGATGTGGAGCGGAGGAGTGTTTAAACTAGAGTGTTTAAATCCTACAGCTTTTCTCTGTTGTGTCAAAAAATAATATGATTGTTTTAATGTCCTAAATAAGATGGTGCAGAAGGATATTACTGGGAGATATAGATAGAAAGTATATTTCATTGTCTTGATATACCAGGATATTTATGGTAGTACAAATTTACAGCTTTCTTCAGAGCAATCTGATATGAATGCTTGGTGCAATACTTTTACCCAATATTGGGATAAATATGTTTAATCTGCCTCAATCCTGTGATAGCCTTTTACTTTAATAAAAACATAATTGTTTCATGTGATTGAACAATAAAGTTTGATTAACTTTTAGCATTCACAGAAAATCCAAAAGAGAGAATATAATTCCTACTAGATCAGAATGTATAGATCTCAGTTTTAAAAAAAAGCTGGAAATCCACAGCAGGTCAATCAACATATGAAGGAGCAGAATTCAAATGGAGGTTAATGGCTGAAATATTAATTATTTTTCTTTCAAATGCAAATTTACCTGCTGTGGATTTGCAATATTAGTAAAAACAGAATTGCTTCTTCTATGTTACCTTGGTTGTAGATGCAGCTAATGCTTCAGTTTTATTACACTTGGAACATAAATTCCTCACAATGTTTTACAACAAATAACACCGAACTGAACAGATTCTTAACTGAACAAGTGATACTTAGCTGAACATGTTCAGGAACAGATTCAAAATTTAATTGATGCTCCATAAAATGCCCCAATAAAGTTTTATGGGGCACTTATTAGATTTTTGAATCTGTTCCTGAAATTATCTCTAAGAGATGATTTCAGAATCTAATCAGATCGTCAGTATATTATAAATCCAGTTAAACAAGAGCTGATTCCTACAAACTTCTGAACTTACACAAAATTAAAAGTTCTTGCTTGAGTAGTCCTTTTTATTCCATCCGGCAAAGCAGTCCTGATGTGCATTCCATAACATGAATAGAATGTTTCAGATTTTTTTAATGGGCTGATATATTCCATAATACAGCTCTGTATGTAATGTGTTAGGGCATTGAAATGAATATGTTGATTTATTAGTTGATTTTTCTCTCTTCTCCCCATCTCTCTCTCTCTCCCCCTCTCTTCCTTTTACTCTCCTGTTCTTTCCACATGCTATTCTTTCAGCCTGCAACCTCAGAGTTATATATGCCATGTTCATAATTAGTGATTTATAATTGTAGCGCTCAATCACATTGCACCCTGCCATTGCTTTAACTGAGAGGGCAGCAAAATCACAACTTGTTTCAAACACAATAACCTTTGTAGATTCAGGTGTAGGGAAGAAAATAAATTACTAATATTCACCTGCCTGGGAAAAATGCACAAAATTTGTTCTGAAAAATAGCTGGTATGAGTACTCGGATATCATTATCATATTATATAAAATATGTTAAAAAAAAGTTGAAATGTTAATTTAGGATGCAAGATATTCTTGTTGTACATCTTGTTGATCATTTTTTCTGTTTTACACCTGGTCCCAAAACCAAATCTAGAAAAGCACATTGATGTTACTTTAATTTAAATAGATTTATTTTTGAAAAATCTGAATTAGCAGTGGTATTTAATCTAAATATTTTCAGTATAACTGTTTCTTTGACTGGATTTGGAATTATTTTAAGTTTTGCTCTGTGCTGCCACAAGATGGCAACTAATGCACACCTTTTGTGCTATGTATAGCAGCACCAATGAGTATCCTTCCTTGTTCAAATCAAGATCAGTTTATTTTTCCCTCTGCTGATTTATCCTGTCCACATGCATATTACTTTAAATATTTAATCTTTAACATAAACAATATTGAATATTTTTAACATAAGCAATATTGAATATACGTGGAGTCCAGCAGCGTATTGGTTAGAGCACTCGTATGGTAAGCAAGAGGACCGAGGCAGGTTGTTTGTTGATTGGCGGATCACTTTCTGGGGATAATCAGTTCTAAAAATACATAAATAAAATAAATAATAATAATAATTAGTACATGACTGTTTGTGGGACATTGCTTTGTGCAATTGGCTGCCGCATTTCGCCCACAAAATATCCAGTCAATTCACTTTCCAGTATATTCTATGAAGTGTTTTGAGGCATCTCAACGGACATGATTAGGCACTATATCAGATGCAAAGATTGTATGTTACTTCTCTCCATATAAGAAGAGAAAGTCTGTGCCTTTGTAGTAGAAATGCCTGATAAATAAGTATTCAGAATTCTTAACATTTCTACTTCTTCTCATGTCAAATGGAAATCATTCCTCCCCCATGCAAAACACGCCTGAGAAGCACAACCTTCCTTTTTGTAATATTTCTTTTCACTCTGATTTTTTTAATTTATAAAAAATTATAATGATTTGGTAACTAAATCCATGACTGTTAGTGGGACCCTGCTACGTACAATTGACTGCTGTGTTTCGTGCACAAAATATGCAGTCTATTCATACTTTACTGTATTTTCTGTGAAGTGCTTTGAGATGTCTCGAAGGCATGATCAAGGGCTATGTGAATGCAAGGATTATTATCCTTAGGCCTCTATTTTTTTCTCTCTTTTTATTTCTCTACTTTCTTGTTCTTCCCGTGTGCTCTTCCACATACTATGTCATACTATGTTCAGATCGGAGTCTGCACGGTCTCCAACTTTAATTCTTTCCCAAGACCGCATGACTTCTTATATCATTCAGTCATCAGTTCCTCATAGAATCTACCCATGAGTAGTGTTAACTTCTTTACAAACTTTATTTTTCTGCTTTTACTTTTTATCTTACTTGTGTACTAAGCCATGGCCTTCATCTAAGATTTCAAGAACCAAAATATAAAAACTAAAAGACGAAGGGAGAATTGACAGAAAATGCTTTTTTTGGTGGGGGATAACTCAACTCGTAAGCTATGTCTATAACTATATTTAAATGGGACTTGAATAAATGCTTGAAGATAAATGATATTAAAGGTTATGTATAAAGAGTAAGCTAAATGCGAATGGAAAAGTTGGATCAGTTAATGTCAGCACAAATACAATGGGCTGAAATGATTTCTTCTGTATAAATATTCTGTGAAATTCTTATAAATATGCACCTTGAGAATGGACATATATATGTACACATATATATTAAACAGCATACACATATTTGGATGAAGATTAGGGAAGGTGATCATGAACATAATTTACTGTTTATACCCATAACCAGGATCCCACATACATTATATTCATGTATGGAGTGCAATTCAACAACAACTTTCATTTATGTAGTGCCCTTCACACAAGATAGTGTCTCAGAATGTCATTCAGTGCTTCCTTTCCACTCACCCAAGATTGTCTTCATTCAAACTATATAATGCTTTCACATTTCACATTCTCCCCTGAGGAGGTAGGCATCAGACAGACTCTCAGTCCTCATTTAATTGCCAATACCATTTAAACCACCCTGACTCACTTGCCTTCTGAAACTAACAATAGGCTGAAGAATGGAATTGCAAGTTTGAGATTGTATCTTACTGCTGTATGCAATAAGTAATTTAAATTGTGCAGCTAACCTGCCATAATTTTTAGCATACAATTGCATGATGAAGGCTTAAGTCATGAATGTTCCACTTTGCATCTGATCAACCCCTGTGAATTCCTCCAGAATGTAGAAATTAATAAGCTTCAAGGATCAACAATGAATATTTTGACCACAGATGGTGCACTGAAAACAAAGTATATTTATGCTGAATCTTCACATCTGTCCTCTTCCATTGGTAACATTGAACTTGGAAGTATTCATGGTAAGAATTTCGTGCACAAGTTCCAAATTGTTAAAAGGCGATCGTGGGTAGTAGTCAGTACCATGTGTTTAATAATGAACAGTCTTTGAGAATTGCAATGACATCCATGAACGATTTTTCCTTCCATAGCAAAATCTCCAGCTCAGATGTCTCGTAGCACAGAGCAAGCTTTTCACCAAGTTAGGAAAATAAGCAGATCCATACTTCTCACGAAAATAACAATTTGACACAATTCAAAAGGAGCTTCTTACTTTAGTCGCATGCCATTCAACAGCTGAGCAGCCTCTTTTAGAGTTCAATGATCTTTTTGAAGCTGCTGGAAAAAAACATTCTTTTGTGTATTGAGTTTTTTCATGCATTGCACGATTCTACTGAATGTACCCCTGAGCTAATGTGCAAATTCTGGCAAATAGGAATGAATTGATTTGGAGGCAAAAAAGTACAAGTAGCTGGCTTTAATTTGAGCAGTGGCCATAGGTATAAATACTTTACAGCGATGGTTTAACAACAAATTACATTTTATAGCACCTTTCACATTGGGAGGCCGTCCCAAGGTGCTGGACAGGGAAGGGTTTGTACCTGAGCTGGGGTTTGGAATCGAAAGGGGTGGAGGGCAAGGGGGTGAGGTGGAAGGACGGCCGAAGGCATGGACAAAGTGTAACGTCTTGAGATGGGCCTTGATGGAGGCGAGGGACGGGTAAGGCAGAGGGGCTCTGTAATGGAGTTCCAGAGGTTGAGGGCAGAAAGGCTAAAGCCTGACCGCAAACGGAGTGGTCAGGATGGGGGACATGGAGCAGGCCAGCGTCCGCAAAGAAAAGGGATTCAACATGGTAACATTTCTGTAGGTTGTAGAGAAAGGGAGGAGCAAAACTGTTGAGGACTTTAAAAGTGAGGACAAGGATTTTAAACTCTTATCTGGGGGGTGGGGAGCTATGGCAAGGGCCATGGCATAGATGTGGGGTTTAAAAGACAATTGAACGTTCAAACAAGACACCATGGTCTGTACTGGCTCGGTGAGGTGGGGAGGCCATCAGTAATAGTGATGCTGTCAGTGCCTGAGGTGAGGAGGCGCTGCTGCAAGCAGGGCCTCGGGTTGGCTACATTCAACTGGAGAAAATTGGCTTGCTGTCTGACAGAAAATCTTGTCCAGAGAGTGAACAAGAGTGTAGCCAATTTGGAAGGTTCAGCTCAACCACAGCTGCATAGAAACCATAGCAGTGTATATTTAAATTTTTAAGCATTTTAAGACGTATCAAATTCAAGGGTTATTATTATTTTCACTGAGCTTGCAAAATGAAACCATATGGTTTTTTTCCCCCACTTTTCAAAGTTTCAAAGCTTTGTACTTTTCTAGTAAAAGATTGATACTTAAATCAAGGTGGTGTTAAGTACAGTAGTTCCTAATGATCACTTGCATTAAAAAATAAAAATATTTGAGGGTAATAATGCACAATATTAAAATGTAATCGTGGAACATGTTACTTGTCCCCTTAGGGGTTGTCTTACTTTTGACATTTCCGAGGATTTATGGCAGAAGAGCCTAGCTTTGAGAGTCGTTTCTCCAAGACTCACTCACTGCCTTTCCCCTGTTCCACATATCCATTAGTTTGGGCTAGAGAAGAAGAGGGAAAGAATTCTAATCTGTGGTCTTGCAGGAAGTTCTGAAATGTAAACTTTATAAAAATAAAAGTCATTCATCTCATCTCATTTGTGGAATGTTACTTCTGCAGATTAGTTATCACGTTTGTCTACATGGTAGTCAATACACTTCAGTGTAACATTGTATGAATACATTTGAGACATTTCAATAGGATTTAAAAGTGCAATATCAAATACATTTTTAATCAGCAGTTTCTGTTTTGTGCAATCATCTCCCCTCTCACCACCACCACATTTTTGAGGAAAGTTTTGTTCCTTTGTGATCTGGATCTGGAGAAGCCAAGCCAGAATCTGGATGTATTGCATTTTTTTTCTCCCCAATGGATTGAAATTGTACACAAGCTTCTTTACCGTAATATGACTTCATGGTTAAGTTATATAAAGGCTTACGTATAGTTCCATTAATGGGGCAGGGGAGGGAACTTTAAATTATTGGTCTTTAACTACAAATTTTGTAACTAAAATGTGTGGTTTTATTTTAAAGAACATTTTAGATTCACTCAACATATACTAAGTCAGCACATCTTTGAGCTATGGTTAGTTTCACTGCAGAACATTTTAGTGGCTTAACTATGAATCATATTACCCAAAATTGTAAGGCCTTAATGGTTTAGGAATTCTGCCAGCTACCAGGGAAAAAAAAAGTTCATCTTGCAGATGAAATAACTTATGGAAGTTTGAAAATATCCATGTTTTTTCAATAAATATTTTTCCAGACAAGACGTGAGCAAGGACATATGAACTTTCCTTTATTAACCAATACAGTAGAATGTTATTTTCCTATACAAATGCTCTTATCCTTTATTTTAAAAGATGCAGTTTAAAAAAAATCTGCTTGCATTGTTAGAATTGGTTGCAAATATATCCCCATTCGGGAACTTTCTGTATGTTGGGTATCTGTAAGTAGTTCTTAATAAGATCATATGCACTTCAGAGCAAGTATCAGTGTATGGACACTCATAGGAAATTATCAATCAGCAAATCTAACAGTTACTAAATACAGTACCCTACGCATCATAAACTTAAATCACAACTGCCATAATTTTTCACCATTTTGTTGAAGACCAAATGATGCTTTCTTGTAAGTTACATAAAGAAAACATTTGTTTTTTGTTTTTAATCTTCATAGTCCTGTTGTACTTTCATTATTGTAGGAAGAATGACTTCTGTTGCGCATATCAGAAATCTTAGAGTGATGTTAGGATGTTGAGAGCTTATAAGAAACAACCTTGTATGTCTTTTTAACATTTTGTTATGTTCTTTTGTGCAGGAAATGTAACTGTTCAGACCAACGCAGGCACTATTAAAATAGGTAAGAAACTTCCCATCTTACTGGATCCTATTTGATACATAAAAAGCACAATTTAATAATTAAGTATGAGGTGAAAGAACCCTCATTTCTCCCAGAGATCTAGATCTTTGTTTTGCTGTGTAACAGTAAATGCGTAAGCTGTATTCTACAGAATATTACTATGTAGGGACTTTAATTAGAAGTTCTTTTCTGGATGTTGAAGACAATATAAATTGTCCTCACTGTCTTGCTCTACTGATACAACACAAATCATAAGATGTTCTTGCCCCCACTTTAGCAATCAATGTATTTCCAAATTTGAAGAGTGGAAGCTTATGGAATTCACATCTTAACCAGACAAATATAGTTTTGCAATGCTTTTTATAAAAAAGGAAAAAGTCTATTTCTTGTCTATTTCCTACTTGCATTTATATCGCACCCTTCATGTAGAATCGTGTCTCAGAGAGCTGAAAAATAACATAGTTTGATGCCCACTAGGTTAGGGAGTCTAGTCTTTTTACGTGCTGTGAAATATGTGTTTTGTTTCTAATGTTTATGTATCTTTGTCTGTTGGTGTCAGCCTGGCTCAGTTTGTAAAAAAAAAATAAAAAAATTCTAATACCTAGAATTTTTCATTGTAGCTTATCTCTTTTTGATTAGATTTCACAGCAATGTAATACAGTGCATTAAGTGCTTTAACTGTTGATTGCAGGTTCCTCAGATGGATGTCTAAAGGCCTCCACACAACAGGGTGACCTAGATGTTTACATCAGCCAGCTAGAGGCTGTGGATCTCTTTTCGCAGGATGGTGAGATGCTGTGAAGGATTTACCAATTTCATTTAACTTTGGGGGAGAGTTGGTATTGGGAGTAGTTTTCATTTGCAAAGATTTCATAAAATGTTCTCATCTCTTCTGTTTAAAACAGTAAAGCTCCAATAAGTCTTATCTTTATAAATCATATAATTGCCTAAATGAAGTGCATTTACCTGAGTCCCAGTTAGTTTCCTATCAAAAGCATTAGATTTATTTGCACTACTCGTATTAATCACCTCTTAACTTGTAATGGTATCCTATCCCCCATTACTCCTGCACTTACCGGTTGCCCTTAAATTGCAGGAAATTATGTCCTGACCCATTGATGCATACGCACTTACATTAAACTTACATTACGCCTGCATTAAATCAAGGGAAACAAAGTCTTGATCCGTCGACGCATGTGCAGAAGAACTTAATTTCCCCACGGTTCAATGTGATCCCTTAAGACGCATTGAATTGTGGCAAATACACTCTGGACCCATCATCGCCTGCATACTTATAGCTGCATTGAATTGTGTAGATGCAGTATAGATTATTGATTAGATTGGATTTTATACGGGTTGTACAGTTTGCCTGCAACTGGGATTTGCATTAGGCATATTAAATGTTATGGTCCTGACTGATACGGCTTATGTGAGTTTCACTGTGGTATTTGAATATTCAGTCTATGGAAGGAAGTGCTTGATGGGCCTAGTGGCTGCCTTCTGCGCTGTAAACACTCTATGATGTTATGTCTGGAGGCCAAATCGTTATCCTTACATCACATCAATTATTTGAAGTGGTTTAAAAAAACAAACCAGATTGATAATTTCTATCATAGTACAGCTCAATTATTGTCCAATGTCACAGGTTCATCTCAAAAGTTAAGATTTGCCTTCTAGAAGTATCACGAGGATATTTAGATCTAAGATCTTAAGTCCCAACATGGTCTTGAGTAATGTCTAATGTCTGGCACAACCTTTCGAAATTCATTTTGGAGTAATTTGATATTGATTTCATGTGGAGATGATACTATAATTATAATAATAATCTGCATTTGATATAGCAGCTTATCACATCTTCAAGACATCTCAAAGCGCTTCACAGAATATACTGTTAAGTGAATTGACTGTATATTTTGTGGGTGAATACTATGATGATGATACTACCAAATGAAATGGATAGTATCTGTTTCCAAGCAATTTGTGGAGCAAAGGGACTTGATAGGTTGATTGACCTCTTCTCCTTTTTCTTATGTTATTTAAGCAATCTTGTCTGAACTGGTGCCTTGGAATATCAGTTTTTCGGACGTTATTTTTCGTAAACAAGCTTGCGTTGCTTTAATGTAAGTGCGTGTATATAGTCTATTGTTTTCTTCCATCAGGATATATTCTTCAGCTGGAATGCAAGACCTAATCAGAATCTGGTACGTTGGGTTTAGCTAGCCCCCTCCCACCTCCATGATGTATGCACAAACGCACACAAAATTTTCATTATCAGCTGTTAGCATCATGTATGCCATATGCTGTATATGACATCATGTACAGCATTTTGTGTTTACCTTATTAATAAACTTGTTACCTTGGGGGAATTACAGCCCTGATTGGATCTTACACCATAGCGTATCTCATTGGAATGGAATGAATAGCACCGCCATGCTTCTAAGACAAAAAATCATTTAAAATGCTGCATCAGAACCAAGAAATCCAGCCTTTTGGGAGAGTGCAGTTAGAGGTACATTCAAGACGCCTGTTACTGAGAGGAAACCCAACATGGCAGTTGTGGCAATCGTTACATTGTTTTAAACTTTTTTAAGTTTAAGTTTTAAACTTAGGAGGTTTTTCTGATGCAGAAGAACTCGTCCACGTTTTAATTTTAGTGAGTAATTTCTCAATACATCAGTAAAACTCTTGATTGTCCAGTGCCCTTGGATGTCTTTCCAATGTGAAGGGTGCTATACAAGTGTAACTTGTTGTCGTTGTAAGGTTACAGTGATTTGAAGCACACTAACTTTTTCATTAAATATATTTTATTAGAAATCAGTGCAATATTTTTGATTTCTTCTTTTTGCAGTTTATTTTCCAACTTCCTACTGGAAGTATTCCAATGGATACTATGAATTGTTAGTCATTTTCTTCCCCCAATGTCAGACCTGCATCTTTTTCTGATGTGTATATGATTGTCTGTACTGTGGATTGTGATATTTATTGGTTATTGTGCTTTACATTTGAAACTCTTGCCTTTGATTACTATCACCATTTTTAAAATTCTTGTTATTTTTGTCAGGTTCTATCGCATTAAAAGTACCCATTTCCCTAAAAGCTGAGCTGAAGCTTTCTGGTGCCAAGGTAGAGGTCAGTCCTGAGATTCATCTGCAGAATATTCAAAGCAATACAGACCAAGGTCACCAAACTATTCACGGTAAGATTAAAATTTTAATATAAATGTTTTACATGATGCCTAAATTTAGGTTTGAATTTCCTGGATGGTCAGAATAATTTTTAAAAAAAGATCTGGCCACATTTCATCATTCTAGCGTAGAGGTTAGCTTGTTTGACGGCTTGCGAGAGAACTGGGATTCAATTCCCGGGTGGGGCGAAACCTTAGGCAAGTTTCCTTACTCCAAATGTTTTTGTTTATCTAACAGAACCCGGTTGTTAGTCAATTGGCGGATCGCTTTCCAGAGGTAATCGTCTGTGTGTTCAGTCTGGTGCAGTGATAGCACTCTTGCCTTTGAGACAGAAGGTTGTGGGTTCAAGGCCAAAGTCGGGACTTGGAATCAAGTTGTTTAAGCTGACACTCCCAACGCATTGTCCCAGGTGCCGTCCTTCAGATTAAACGTTAAACCAAGATCCTATCTGCCTGTTCAAGTGGATGTTAAAGATCCCATTGCACTCTTTGAAAAGAGAAGGGAGTTTCTCCAGATGTCCTGGCCAACAATCTCCCAAAATAAAATTGGTCACTCACTCCACCTTGAAGCCTATCTTATTTATTGTACCTATGCTTACCTTCACTCCCCCTTGGACCCTGCTCAATATCTGACCCGGTCACGCAAAGTGCTCTGAGACATAATCATAGAATTGTACAGCACAAAAAGAGGCCATTCGGCCCATCGAGCTTGTGCCGGCTCTTTGAATAGAGCAATTAATGTCAATCCCACTCCTCAGCCCTTTCCCCATAACCCTGCAAACCTGTCCTTCTCAAATACCCGGCCACCGCGTTTTTGAAAGTAGTTATTGAATCGGCCTCGACCACCCTTTCAGGCAATGTATTCCATATTCGAACAACTCGCTGCGTGAAAAAAATTCTTCTCACCTCCGCTCTGCTTCTTTTAGATACCATTTTGAATCTGTGACCTCGAGTCACCGACACACCCACCAGTGGAAACAGTTTTTCCCTTTCTAACCTATCAAATCCCCTCATGATTTTGAAGACCTCTATTAGGTCTCCTCGTAACCTTCTCTGCTCCAATGAGAATAATCCCAGCCTCTCCAGCCTTTCTTCATAATCAAGGTCCCTCATTCCTGGTACCATCCTTGTAAATCTCCGCTGCACCCTTTCCAATGCCTTAACATCCTTCCTATAGTGTGGTGCCCAGAACTGGGCGCAGTATTCTAACTGAGGCCTAACCAGTGTTTTATATAGGTTAATCATAACCTCCTGACTCTTGTACTCTATGCCTCTATTTATAAAGCCTCGTATCCCATATGCCCTTTTTACAGCCTTATCTACCTGTCCTGCCACCTTCAAGGATTCATTTACCTGCACCCCCAGGTCTCTCTGTTCTTTTACCCCCCTTAAGATTGTATTACCAGCCTATATTGCCTCCCCTCATTCTTTCTACCAAAATGCATTACTTCGCATTTCTCCACATTGAAACTCATCTGCCATGTGTCTGCCCATTTTACCATTCTGTCTATGTCTTCCTGCAGTTGGCTCCTATCCTTCTCACTGTTTACCCCCTACCTAACTTTGTGTCGTCCGCAAACTTGGTAATGGTACTTGCTATACCCAATCCAGATCGTTTATGTTTATTAAGAAGAGCAGTGGTCCTAATACCGATCCCTGGGGGACGCTTTCCTCCAGTCAGAAAAGCAGCCGTTCACCATAACTCTCTGCTTTCTGTCTCCCAGCCAGTTCTGGATCCATGCTGCCACTCTCCCTTTTATACCGTGGGCTTCTATCTTTCTTACAAGTCTTTCATGTGGCACTTTGTCAGATGCCTTTTGCAAGTCCATATAAACTATATCAACTGCACTACTTTTATCCACCCTCTCCATTACCTCATCGAAAAATTCTATTAGATTTGTTAGACAAGATTTGCCTTTAACAAATCCATGTTGGCTGTCCCTAATTAACCCATATTCTTCTCAGTGAAGATTTATTCTGTTCCGGATTATAGTCTCCAGGAGTTTCCCCACTACTGATATTAGGCTGACTGGCCTGTAGTTCCCTGGTTTGTCCTTCTGTCCCTTTTTGTACAGGGGAGTAACATTGGCCACTCTTCAGTCCTCTGGCACCACTCCTGTGTCCAACGAAGATTGAAAAATTGTAGCCAAAACCTCCACTATTTGTACCTGTGCCTCCCGTAGTAATCTTGGTTGCATTCCGTCCGGACCGGGCGACTTATCTACCTTCAGCGCAGTCAACCTTTTTAGTACTTCCTCTCTGTTTATACTTATCCTATCCATTTCCTCTACCCTCTCCTCTGATACTGCGGCATTTGGTGCATCCACTTCTTTTGTGAAGATAGATGCAAAGTACTCATTCAGCACATCAGCCATGCCCTCTGCCTCCACAATAAGATTTCCCCCATGGTCCTTAATTAGCCCCACCCGACCTTTGACTAGCCTTTTTTCCTTGACAGGTTTGTAAAATATTTTAGAATTCCCTTTGTTACCCGCTAACCTTTTTTCATATAATCTTTTTGCCCCTCTTATTTCCTTTTTCAAACCTCTTCTGCACTTCCTATATTCGATTTGATTGTGTTCTATATCTTGGGTTTGACATTTGTCATACGCCTCCTTTTTCTGCTTCATTTTAGATACAATTACCTTCGTCATCCAGGGAGGTTTGGAAGTCCTACTTTTCCCTTTTGTGGGAATGTATTTATTTTGTCCCTGAGTTATCTCATCCTTGAAGACTTCCCACTGCTCTTTAGTTGTTTTACCTGCCAATCTTACTTTCCAGTCCACCTTGGCTAGGTCCCTTTTTAACTCACTGAAATTTGCCCTCTTCCAGTTGAATATCTTTACCTTAGATGGTTCCTTGTCTCTCTCCATATGCACTTTGAATATTACCCAGATGCTCTCCCACTGAAACCTGCTCCACGTGTCCTACTTCATTCCCCAGAACTAGATTTAGCACTGCTTCCTTCCTTGTTGGACTGGAAATGTACTGATCAAGAAAGTTGTCCTGTACGCATTTTAGGAATCTTTCCCCCTCCTTGCCCTTTGCGCTGTTGTTTTGCCAGTCTATGTTGGGATATGGATAACTCCGTGCATTTAGGCACATGCACTCCAAGACCGACTTGACCTGTTCTGCGCTTCCCCCCAGGTTTTATTTCTCCATTTTCTAGCTCTTTTTTGCATTCCCTTCCCCCCTCAAAACTAGTTTAAACCCTCCCCAAAAGCATTACGATAGTCTGTCTGCAAGCACATTCGCCCCAGCCCTGTTTAGGTGCAACCCACCCATATGATACAGGTCCCACCTACGTGAAGAGAGCTATATAAGGGAGCTATATAAACAATAATAATCCTTGATATAGGTTAGATTTGATATAGCGCTTTATCACGTCTTCTAGACGTCTCAAAGTGCTTCTCAGAATATACTGTAAAGTGAATTGATTATATATAGTGGGCGAAACATGGCAGCCAATTGGGTACAGCAGTGTCCCACAAACAGTTGTGGATTGAGTGACCAAATTATTATTAATAATTTTGAAGGGATTATTATCCTTGGAAAGCGATCTACCAATCGACTAACAACTAAGTTCTTACTTATTGCTAGGTAAACAGGTGGAATAAGGAAACTTGCCCAACGTTTCGCCCTGCCCAGATCCTCTCACTTGTGAGGCGAGTGCTCTAATCACTAAGCTACAGGATTCCAAATGCAAGTTATTGTCATTTATTTCATGGCCTTTTGGGGATAATGCACTGTGCAAATTGGATGCCATGTTTGCCTATAAAATAGTACTACATTTTACAGTCATTTCTTTGAAACACTTTAAGAGGTTCTCCAGAAGTGAAAAGAATTATTATTATATGTGGAATATTTTTGTCCAACAGAAATTTCAATACTTTTTGAATTTGGGTTTCAGCTTTTCTTAACAGTGAAGGAGGCAGTAACCCTTTGATCAAGGCTCATGCAGGACGTGGAATGCTCAACTTGAAAAGTCAGACCTGGATTGATTCTCTCAATCTAAAGCTTGTGTAAAGAATCTTTACAATAATGAAGAACGGTTATTTTGGTTATGGAACAGAGGCTGAATTTTGGTTCTGTCTATAATTGTTGGGTACTCAATTGTCCTTTTTTTATTGAAACCACTAATAATTGACAGAAAAGAGAATGAGATTGAAGGAGTTTCAGAGGTTGGAGACATGGAATCTGAAGCGAATAATGTTAATACTTCTCATCTTGAATGTGACAGTAATCTTATTAAGTCTGGGGCAGAGGTATGATTGATCACGAATATCCTTATTCATTGATAATTCTTGACTTTATATTAAAATTGTTAATACAAATAACTAATAAAAAGATGTTTAAAAAAATCTTCGTTCCCTCTATTTTATCGCCCCTTCTTCGGACCAAAAGAACTGAGTTTGCCTTATCGTAACCACAGCATTGTAATACGTTTTCAAGTAAACTTGTGTTGAATTTTTCTAAAAGTACAAAGATAAAGTTAAGGAAAAGTAATATCCAAATTATTGTTACCCTGTTAGGTGTCAGCTTGGTTCAGTTGGTAGCTATTTTGTCTCTGAGACAGAAGGTTCTGGGTTTTACGTGTCACTTTAGGACTTGGAATTCAAAAATATTCGTAATACAGCGCTAGGGCGCGCAGCATTATTGGAGGTGCAGTCCTTCAGATGAGATATTAAACCACACATGGCGAATGTTAACGATCCTATGGAACTATTCAAAAAGAAGAGGGAGTTTTTCCCAGCCTGGCCGCCGATCCTCAGATAAAACTGGTCATTCAATTCATGGCTGTTTGTGGAATATTGCTGATTGCAAATAAGCTGCTGCATTCATCTACATTGCATTTTATAGTAAAGTCTGTGAAGTGCTTTGAGAAGGTGAAAAGTGCCATATCAATGCAAGGAGTATTATAACAAATGATTTCCCTATCTTGCACACAATTCTGGGAACATGATCTGTATAATTCATGTGTAAAGTGAGACAAGTCAATTTTATAAAAAGTAAAGTGTATTGCAAGTGTATTACTTTTGCTACTTGTCATGGTGTTTGTTACCTTCTAATATTGTTAAAGAATAAGGTTAGAAATGCACCACTCGTGTAATTTTACTATTTTAACTATCAATCAGTTTATTTAAATTAGTCAAATTTCCGCAGCAACAAACCCAGTACAATGTTAGTTTTATTGTGAAGCACATTGTTAAAAATTGTACAGCTGTAAAAGTTTCCTTAAGAGTAAAACTACATTTTAGTTGTTTTGTATATAGATTAATATTCATTCAGGATCTTGGTCTTGCTCCTCGTCCTGGTTCTCCTCCTGGTTCTGGACATCAACCTGGTCATCGATTTTGTCCTCGTCATCTTGATTCTGATCCTCATCCAGTTCAGTGTCTTCGTCTTCTTCTTCTTCTTCTTGGTTCTTCTCTTCCTTCTTTATGATGTTTCCAAGACCGTCGTATCCGTACCACAGAGGAGGTGCAAAGTTATTGAATTCACATTGTATATTTGCACGCATTTGTTTGTCAAAAGCACTTCTAAATAAAATACAAGAAGAAATAAATGTTTTTTAAGAAGTAGACCTTTTTGGGTCGATGATGACATCCATTAGCCACCTAGCACCTACCTCTCTTAACATGTATTGTACGTACTTTGTGATCTTTGTGCAGTACAACATCTTGAGGAAGAGCAGTTTCCGGAATCCTTTCTTCAATAATTTAAATATTACATCAGTCACTCTGACGCAACCTGAGATGTCCAGGTAGCGAAGGTAATGGCACCCGCCAATCAAATATTGCAGGCTTAAGTCAGTAATCTGGTAGATTGATAAAATATACAATATTTTGTTAAAATGTAAGCACGGTCGAAGAGGAAAGTTTTCAGGTGGGACTTGAAAGGGGAGAGAGGCGACAAGGCGGAGGGATTGAGCCAGAGTGTTCCAGAGTTTTGAACCGTAGTGGCTGAAAGTATTTATATTATCGAATAGTTATTCTGATAGGATTTAGGAATCAGTTGAATTACAGGTCAAAGTACAAAGTTTTTAAGTTGTAATTTTCTCCACGGTCTAGAAAATTATAAATCGAGGCAAGGGAGTATGGATTTCACATCACATTGTGGACTAAAATTAAATCTTTTAGTGGCTAGAATTCAGACAAAATCTCTGGGATTTAAAAATAGAAATATACAGCCCATCACCTCTTATGCAAAAAAAAATGCAGAAAGAGATTAACATCCGGAACAAGTTTCCAGGAAGGTTGGATGAGGTCAGGAATCTCAAAAATCCACTCGATGCTGTAATGGGAAGATGGTAGTATGGGTAGTCCCAGAAGGTTAAGATCAAATAGGTGGAAACGACATTCTTCATCTCTGTCTCAACCCCACCGTAAACTCTGCCTTGAGCACTTTCTTTTCAGTTGTGTTTTTGGTCACCTTTCTCTACACACACACAACTACCTCAGATGCCCCCCAACTCAAATTCTAATATTTCCAAGAGTGATTCAATGTATGTGAGTAAGAAAACATGATCTGAGGGAGAATATTTTTGGTTAAAGTCACATCTTTAATCCAAACTATATATAATAATAATCCTTGCATTTGATGTAGCGCCTTATCACGTTGTTGAGACGTAAAGTGAATTGACCGTATATTTCGGGGTGAAACGCGGCAGCCATTTGCACATAGCAGTGTCCCACAAACAGACTTGGATTGAAGTGACCAATTTTTTTTTTTTTGAAAGAATTATTACCCCCGGAAAAGCGATCTGTCAATCAACTAACATCCGGGTTCCAACTTTACTGCTAGGTAAACAGAGGCATGTTGAGTAAGGAAACTTGCCCAACATTTCGCCCTGCATCAAGTGTATTTAGAACCCAGGTCTCCTGCTTGCGAGGCAAGTGCTCAATATATCTAAGATTAATCTATATTGGCCAATTTATATTGATGTAGGCAATCCTTTATTTACCTAACCTGAAATCCCGATTACATTTAACGTTAAGAGGGCAAAGATAATGTTAAAGTAAAAAGCTTGTGTTATTTAACAGGTTTCTAAATTTACCTTTGGACATGCGGAGATGTTCAGATATGTAAGCAATCGGCAACTAAACGACAGGGTTTTAATGCTCTGATTACTCAATGCCATGCAGTGGGAAACATCAAGGTAATTCAGATTGATCGATCTGTGACAGAATTTCTTGAACACAAAATATCAAACACAAATTGTCACATAGAAAAAAAATGCATGCTGATGTATACTTTTGGTTTCATTCTTTCTATTGATAAATTACTCTGAACATAATTGATGAGTAAAAACAGTCAAGTGATGAGAGAGAAACAAAGTAGGTGAAGGAGTAAAAGAAATGTGACTTTTTTAATTCCAACTGAACCATAATATTTATCTGATGGTCAAAAGGCAACAACATTAATTTAGGTTAAGATTAAATAAAATACACAGTCAATCCACTTTATAATATATTTTGTTAAATGCTTTGAGACATCTCTGCAATATGATAAGGCACTCTATCAAATGCAAGGACTATTATTAGCTTCCATTAGTGTCTTGAGTTGTGTGCATAAAATATTGCTTCCTTATTCAGAAATTAGTACTGCATTATTCCTGGAAGTGTACTAATATTAATCTATATAAACAACGATTTATTAACCCATAGTAAACTAAATAATAATAAATATTTGCATTTGATATAGCATTTTATCACATTGTTGATGTCTTAAAGTGCTTCACGGGATTTATTATAAAGTGTAGTGATTGTGTATATAGGTCAACAAAGCAGCCAATTTATACATAGCAATGTCTCACAAACATCCATGAAGTGAATGACCAATTTTATCTCCAGTGAGGGTTGAAGTGAAATAGGTGGATCTTAATGCATATTATTTCACTGTAAAATGCCAATGAGTAGATTTGACCTTCTGTCCCATTCTGACACACAAGACTGATAAGACACTGGTTAAGCCAAAACAATTGTCAGGATCTGGGCTTTTGACCGGCTAACAAAAAACAGTATGTTAGATGTTGCTTCCGCCTCCGACATGGATGGGAGAACCAGGAGGAAGAATTGTTTTAAAGAACCATTGTAATAAAATATCAGAAACATCAGGTTAGAGTAAATCAGATCAGAAAAGAATAAATGTAAAGCTTAACAAATACAAATGCTATAGAACAATTTACAAAGAATAGAAAAAATAGGAACAGTTGTTTGAACAGTTTTTGGGTTAATACATTTGTAAATTTCCTCTTGACATGTATATGTCTGTAATACCAATAGGAGAAAGAGTTCACGTCCAGTGTTGAGCTCAAAATGAATGTGCTTCCACCAAATGTGGCCATTCTTACAGGGCCTCCACTATCCAGAAGAACATGTTGGGAACACCACTATTAAAGTACTGATTTGATCAAGCCTCAGTGACCATATTTTTATTCTGGATGAATAATTCTTCATCTCCTAAAAATATAACTGCAGTAAATTTACAAAGCCCAGACACAACTACAGCTGTGTTATAGCAACTGCAGTTGATGATTAAGAGAAACAGTTTTGATTTCCTCTCTGAAACAGACATCCTATAGTCCAGCACTGTGGACCTTGGCCATTCTTGGGCTTCGAAGTTTAAAAAAATAAAAGAATATAAAGAAAACTACTATCATCACAGATAAAGCAATGATTATCTACTGAGAGAAACAGTTTACAATAGAAGACAAAACAAAAACAGAAGTCACTGGGAACACTCAACACTGATTTTCAGATTTCCAGCATCTGCAGTACTTTGTGTTTTAGAATAGAAGAGTTTCAGCTCTGTTACTCTAATGCAACAGATTAGGAGAAGAGCCATTCCAGCCATTGAAGAATCCAGTTGGGCTGGAAACCGGACAGTGGAGGATCCTATTACTGACTACATAAAGTATGGTAAAAAATATTTTGTCTATGATTTATTTAAATTGGATATTAAACCTGTGTCCACATCATTGACTATAATCTCACAGATTAAGATTTATTTTTGGTCAGCCGAGTATCTTGACACGTGAGGAAACCCATCACCACACTTAAGGTTATCCAAACCAAGAGTTCCAGGCATCCCACCTGCACGTGGAAATTCCAAATTTATTTATTGGAATGGAATTCTCTCCCTTGAGGGATACATTCTGCTGACCTAATTCTGGAAAGTATTAGGTACAGATTGGCAAGAGCCAAGACTGCAGGACCCCAAACTTACTGATACAGACACCCGACAATTATCCAGCTGCTTGAGTTGTTTCAACATTATATCAAATTGGCCTGTTCCAGGACAGGTAACAGGGAAGAAAGGCTTGTAGGAACTGTAGTGAGCATAGATACATTAGACACATTTTAAATTGTGATTTCAAACAATGCAACCAAATTGGAAGTTTGATCACAAAACAGAACAAAAACAAAATTACATTTATAGAGCGCCTTTCACGTCGGGAGGACGTCCCAAAGCACTGAACAGTTAGATGTCGGGGCCCAAGCATGGGGGAGGGTTGGTGTAGGGGTGAGGGAAGGCAGAGAGGTGGGAGGGAGACCAAAGGCACGTATGAAGAGAAGGGTCTTGAGACCGGCCTTGAAGGAGGCGAGGGAGGAAGTGAGGTGAAGGGACCGTGGGATGGAGTTCCAAAGTGTGGGGGCAGAGAGGCTGAAAGCTCGGCCACCGATGGTAGGGCGGGTCGGGCGGGAGACATGGAGCAGGCCGGAGCCCGATGAACGGAGGGAGCAGGCAGGTTGGTAGGGAGTCAGCAGGTCAGAGAGGTAGGAGGGGGCAAGGCCATGGGTGGCCTTAAATGTGAGGACGAGGATCTTGAACTCGATCCTCTGAGGGATGGGGAGCCAGTGGAGTCGGGCGAGAGTGGGAGTGATGGGGTCACAGAGTCTGGTGCGTGAGAGTACACGAGCTGCAGAGTTTTGGATGAGGGGTGAGGCAGTGGCGGAGTCTGGCAATATTGGGGAGAACAATAACAAAAATCTGTTACTTATCTAGATTTTTTTTCAGTACACTTGCAACTCAATTCAATAGTACTACATTTCTGACAAAAAATGACTTTTACCTGTAATCCAATATCAGTGATATCTTGACACTCGGAGATTATGAGCTCAGTACACTTGCTGTTGGTACTGAGAGCTGCTAAACTCTGAAAAGCAAAGTGAAGTTAAAAAGTGCTAGGTATTTTACATTCCACAGAGAACTGGGGACTATCGGCTAAACTTTTACTTAGGACCAATTTCATTTGAAATCCAGAGGTCTGAAATTTCTCATTGTTATAAGATCTTAAAAACTGTGGAAATAAGGCATCTAAATTGAATTTAGAAACTCATAAACTTCTGCCAAATCTTACATTTTAAAACCAGTTAGAAATTTAGGCCTCGGGCTGTTAAATATTTGTGATTATAAATGAAACAACCAGACACAGGTGGGAACAATTTCAGTGAGTGTCAAGCACATCGCTTTTGGCATTTGAATTTCCTGTTATAATTGTGCACCACTGTGCACAAAATGCTCGCTGGAATTTTTATCCAACGTCTCTACACATTTCCCCAAGGCACTCAGAGGCAGCGCAGAGGAGAGCAATGAGGATAATCCCCATTGTCAGAGGAATGAGCTATGAGCAACAATTAGACAAGTAGGGCTCTTTCAATCTTGAGAGAAGACAATTCAGAGGAAACCTCATAGAAGTATATATACATTTTTAAATGGAATTGAAAAAGTAAAAATAGATCAATACTTTAAGATGCACCAAGACAGTAAAATAAAAGGACCTAGGTTTATAGTTAAAAGGCAATTTCACGACTGATTCCAGCAAGTTTTTCTTTACGCAGAAGGTAATTAACGACTGGAACAAGACACTGCAAACTTAATAATCCACTCTGATTCTTAAGTCTCACACGGACAGTTTTAGTTGCCTAGAGATGGAGTGAAAAAGATGTATATGGAATAAAGCCTGTTGAAAATAAACTATTTTTTAATAACATTTTTATTTTCCATCTTTTTAAATTCCCTTTCTACTGCTGCCATAGTTGTACATCTAGAAAGGCAAGACTTTGGGGGTAGGCAGTATAATGATCATCAGTGCTGCTCCATCACTGAACAACAGGAGTTAATCCCTGCAAAGCAAGTTTCCTTGATAAAATGGAGTACTCGGGTCTATCTAGCAGCTTATTCTTATTTTAACTGCAAGTATCTAATATGGATATGCTGCAGAGATGTGTCCAGCAGTCTGTCTCATATCTACTGAAACATTTCACAGTTCCAGTCGGCCTGGAGTTTGATTAATCAAAAGGTGAAATCCAGCACTTTTTAATGAGCCTTCGGAACTCTCTTTAAAATCCTGCTTGAACCGAAAATAAGATGATTCTTCAATCAATTGAAAACTCTGCCGCCCAAATCCTCAGCCATACCAGACTCCACACACCCATCACCCCAGTCCTTGCACTGTTTCCCAATGCACCAATTTCACCCTCACCTTTCAATCCCTTCATGCCCAAACACCCAACTTTCTTTATAATTTTCTCCTGCACCACTCCACTGCTCGTCCCCACTGCTTGGACTAACTTGTACTTGCTGCATGTCCCCAATGCATTGATGGTCAAGCTTTCAGCCACTGCGCGCCTAATCTCTGGAATTCTCACCCTGTACTCCTCCATCTTATGCCCTTTCTATGGTCTTTAAATCCCACCTTAAAACCTACCACTTCAACTGCGACAAGGTCAACTTCTCCTTCCCTCCCTCCCACCCTCCCTCCCTTTCTGTCTTCTTTGCTCAGTCTGACTCTGACTTTGTGAAGTACTCCGAGACATTATCTTACACAAATTATTTTAGTTGACTAATATAATGGTTATAGTTTAGTAGAAATTCTTATGTGGGTCGTGAAATCAACAGTTCTGATTTTTTACTGCAGAGGCCATACAGGCTGGCATGAGAGTTACTTCAGTTCTGTGGACTGAAAGCATTTTTCACTTGTATCATTTTGGAGGCCCTGGATGCAAACCAATTTTAGAGTCTGCAGTTCAGTTTTAATCACATCTGCTCTAATTTATCATGACTCAATCATTTCCCGTAAATTCAAGAATAGCCCTGCATTCTGTTCGTTGCATGTTTGTGACTAACAGATGGTTTATTCTATTCCACTCACTGTGAAGGATTTATGTTTTTGCCCACTGTGTTGAATATATATATATTATATTTATGTATAAATACTGTATGCATATTTTTTAAATTCACGTACATTGTTCAGAATATTTGAAATTCTTTAAAAAAAAGGAACATCACACACTGCCATATTAACAAACAATTTCACGTGCATTTTCTTCTAATAGTTCCTTATAGTTAGCTACTGTAATGCCTGATCATGCGGAGAGCGAAGGGGACCCATCATTCCATGTGCAGTTTACTGGCCTTGAAGTAGCATACGCAGAGCTGAGATCTGAGTTCAATTCCAGGCAGGGCGAAACCTTGGGCAAGTTTCCTTATTCCACACAGAGCCTAATAATAATCCCTCCAAAACCAAAAACAATAATTAATTGGTCATATTCAATCTACGACTGTTTGTGGGACATTGCTGTGCGCAATTGGCTGCCGCATTTGCCCACAAATATAGTCAATTCACTTTACAGTGTGTTCTGTGAAGCACTTTGGGACGTCCTCCCGACGTGAAAAGCGCTATATCAAATGCAAGGATTATTATTATTATTATTATTACTGAAGACAATCTACAGAAGCCTCATAATTCTTATGATAATCAAAATGGTAGAAATGCTATTTGTACAATGAAAAGGGTCATCAGACAATCTTATTATCTTTAAAATTATGTTTCGGTTACATCCCAAAATGTAAAACTATTTTGCTCCTTCTCAACTGACTTGCAGCGGTAATTGAGCTTTATCCAGCAACATTAACAGCATTTTCCACTTTATTTTTAAGATTTCCAGCGTTTGCATTTTTGTAGCGCTTATCTTCTCTAAATCCCTTCTCCTCAGTTTTCTTCACGAAACATCAAACCACTGAAAAAGGATGGTGTTGTTATTGTTTTGCATGTATAGTATCTTCAGCAGGCTAAACATGAATGACAGCTGACTTTTCTTCTTACTGCCCTTTGATCAGGACTCATTTTAACACCAAACTTAACTCCCATACAGTCACTAATCTTACATCTTCTACCTCCCACTACCTCCAGTTGTTTCATCTCCAACTTCACTCTGTCCAAACTCAATGGTTCTTCCAAATATTCACAAAAGGACTGTCCTTAGCAGACCCTTTGTTTCAGCTTGCTCCTTTCCCAATGAATTAATCTCGATTTTTCTTGACGTTATTGTCTTTTCCCTTGCCTATTTATAATGAAGTGTCCAACCCAAAACATTACTATTTATTTGGTAAAAAAAGGCAAAACTGCAGATGTTGCAAAAGTGAAATAATTTAAAAACATGCAGTAGGTCAGGCAGCATCTATGGAGAGAGGTCATCGACCCAAAATGTTAACTCACTTTCCTCTCTCTCTCTCCATATATGCTGCCTGACCTGCTGTTTATTTGGTTTTCAGTTGCTGATTGATCATTGTCCTATTATTGAAACTGCTTATTGTGTTCTTTATTAATGTGTACTTTTCATTGTGATAGTATACAGATTGTTAGACGATACTACTATGTTTCAATGCCTGATATTAACCTGGTCTTGCATTGTGGTTCCTGTTAGATCAACGCTAGTCAAATTAGGCAAGGTTCCCAGCAACTCAATCCCATTATCAGATAAATGTTCACAGTAACAGAATTTCACGTGGGTTAAATTGGTGCATCTGAAAAATAAAACCAAAGAAATACCAAAAAGAGTCAGTTCCTAGCTGAATTTTACTCTTATGGCTTCAGTCTAATAATCATATCAATGTGGATCCGATTTAATATAATCTTAAACTGTTAAATGCTTAACAATAAGGCAATTACAACCATTACTTTTCAAACTTATTAATGAATACATCAGATTAATTCCAGATAAATACTCACTGATTTCTTTATCAGCGCCTTGGGACCTCATCCTGACGTGAAAGGCACCGTATCAATGCAATTTGTTGTTATTTGTTGTTGTATAAAACTATGAAGAATTCTTTGTTTATCACATCAACATATCATGATTTTACAAGAAACAAAAAAGGGAATAACTGAAGTAACCAATGCAATATTTTGCTTGAATTTTTCATGTTTCCCATGTCAATTATCTATTACATACAGAAAAGATATTTACAAGTTAAAAGGCTGTGTTATATCAAAGGGTTCTACAGATATCTGAGAGGTTGAATTGCAGCCTGTAACTATCTTTTTTTAACTAATTATTTTTCCATAATATCCTATTATTATTCTATAATCATAATTTGTAAACATGTTATCTTTTCTTCCTCATCATTATATTGTGTGGAATATGGAATAGGTAAGAGGATGTTAAAGTGGATAGGACATTTGAAATATACATCTTGTGAAAATCATGGTAATATTATAGAATAATATAATTTTGGTAAAGATTTATCAGTTTATACACTCTTCAGTGTACATTAACATCATTTTACAATTAGGAATATAAGAGAGAGTTAACAGTGGTAAGAATCTCTGTCCCCAATGACTGATCTACTCCTCCGGCTGATCCACTGTCAACAGATTCTTGGAATGCTGTTTACCTGCTTGGCTCAGGAATTGAACTATCAAAAATGCCACAGAAAATCAACTTGATTTTGATATAATAATAATAATCCCTCAAAAAAAAAATGGTCATTTTCAATCCACGACTGTTTGTGGGACACTGTTGTGCGCAATTGACTGTTACGCTTTGCCCACAAATAGACAGTCAATTCACTTTACACCATATTCTGTGAAGCACTTTGAGACGTCCAGAAGACGTGAAAAGCGCTATATCAAATGCAAGGATTATTATTACTATTATATTCCTTAGCTAGGCATATCACTTCGGAACCAACTCAGCCCCAAAAGGACAACAACAACAAGATTACACTTGTATAGCGCCTTTCACGTCGGGAGGAGATCCCAAGCCCCAAAAGGACCCCTCTTACTAACACTCTCCCATTAACCCCCCCCCCGAGGAGGATGGAAAATGACAATCATCCAATTATTAACCACTATTTTCCGACTTTTCCATGTAAAAATTGTGTTTCTGAAAAACACTAGTAACCCAGAATGCTAAAACATATTAACTTGGATATTTTTTAAAAAGTACATGAGAATTTTAATAGTTGCCTATTATGTGTAAACTATACATTTTTTCATACCTTTGTACAAGTTTGATCAACAAAAAGTCGGAAATGTTGATGCAGTTAGTCAGATTCAGTTCTCTAACCTTCGGACCTGAATTTCCATCAGCGAAGTGTTTCAAACCTACATCAGTTAACCTGCAAAACAAGACACATATGTATATTCATCACATTCTTTTAAAAAGAAATGAGGTCAAGTCAAATTGTAAGGAAATATGTCACTGTTGATTGAGTTACTTAGTGTTAAAATACTGCTATCAGGAAAATTAGGTCATTTTCCGTTGGAAGGGGAGTGATGGATGAATACATTGCTTCAATAGTTTGGGAATATAGATATGAAGTGGCAGATGTAGGCACTGTGAAAATGATTAAATGGGTAAAACAATAGTATTCGCAAATTAGAGGTACAGGAATATTTCATTGTGTGAGAAATATTTACATTGGCTCAAAGTTCCTGTCAGAGATAAATACTATAAATAATCTGCACATTTCATAGAGCGCCTTAATTCATTTTCGAAATTAACTCATGTGGTTTGGAGTAGAAATGTACATCTGGGAAAACATATGGTTTACAAATGAAAATTGCATCTGGCTTAAAAGCTGCAGAATTGTTTTGCCCAGGAAGATAATGTTTACTTTAAACCTAATTTTTTAATCCATGGATATTTCCGCTGTGCAGCAACTTCGCTGTGTAATTGGCATTTAAAGTAGTTATTTCCTGTGCAACACACAGACCTCCTTTGTATAACAATATTTTAGGACTCTATGACAATATTAAAATGGCTTGCACTTAAGAGTTGGACACGTATTCTTTCATCTGTCCTCTCTCTCCCATATCCATGCCATGACCCGCTCTGCTTTCCCCATCGCTGCAACATTGCCTGACTCCGCTACTGCCTCAACCTTCAAGCCACTGAAACCCTCATATACGCCCTCATTACAACCTGGCTCGACTATGCCAACGCCCTGCTTGTCGGCCTTCCTAATTCTTTTATCCACAAGCTGCAGATCATCCAGAATTCCACAGCTCGTGTCCTCTCCTGCACCAGACTCCGTAACTCCATCACACCCACCCTCACCCAGCTCCACTGGCACTCCATCCTTCAGAGGATCGAGTTCAAAATTCTTGTCCTCACCTTCAAGAACCTCCATGGCCTTGCCGCCTCCTACCTCTCTGACCCTTATCAACCTATCTGCTCCCTCCGCTCAGCAGGCTTCGGCCTGCTCCACGTCCCCTGCCCAGCCCACCCCACCATCGGCGGGCGGACCTTCAGCCTCTCTGCTCCCACCCTCTGAAACTCCATCCCACATTCCCTTCACCTCACTCCCTCCCTTGCCTCCTGCAAGGCACGCCTCAAGACCCTCCTCTTTGACCATGCCTTCAGTCACCCTCCTACCCTCCTCCACCTCCACCCTCCCTGAACCCAACCCTCCACCCCCTGCTTGTCCTAATCCCTGACTGTCCTCCTGACATGAAAGGCGCTTTACAAATGTCATTTTGTATTCTATTTATGTTAAATTACTTATATGGTATGATAACAATCAATTTCAAAGCCTGAACACCTAAAAAATAATTTGCTTAGACTATGGTGTATTCCTTATGATTTTATAGTAAAATTTATCAGTTGCAATTGCACAACTCAGACATATTCTGAGGCCAAAACATTGCTTTTAGCATTTTTCAATATGACTTTTTTTACTCTGCAATTTTCTCCCCTCATCTCACGAGACTGCTGATTGCTGCTGCAGTGCAGGTCTGTGGAAACAATTCTTCCTCTGCTATCCTCCAAGTAATTTTCCATGTTAGAGATGAACAGTTGAGTAAGCAGGTTATGTTAACATGAAATTCACCACAGTCTATGTCCTCAAATGTGCACTTGTCAGCAAAACCATTGGATAATGATCAGATCTCTCAGATGCAGCCATAAGAAACATTGTCTTAAATTTAAGATCGTGCAGAATTTTTGGAAAATTCTTCAATTTAGTTTAAATTTGAAAGCATTTTTTTACAGTTCTTTTCTATTTGGTCTAAAAACAAAAATGAATCAAGACTGAATTTAAGAATTTTTCAAAATTCTGCACACTTTAAAATGTTAAGACAATAGTTAATCTACAAAGTACAGCCATCCCACTTTTCAGTAAATCCTCCCAAATCGAAGGTGCTGCATGAAATGCAAGGGTTATTATTATATTTAAGACTGCACACAAGTTGAGGATGCTTCCCTAGCCCAGGAGGTCTGAGTACACCATTCCAGTTAGAATTTCAAACTCCACTGCCACTGAGACAAGCTAACACAACACAAACCAGAAATCAAGCAACAACTTGCATTTGTACAGTGCCCCTCACACAACCCAGAACCCAGAACGTTTGACAGTGACTGAGCATGACGCCAAGCCTTGGAACTTCTAGATCTGTATAGTTTCACACTGAGATGTGGCTTTACATGCTTTACCAAAATATCATATTTTATAAGGTTTATCCTGCAGCAGAACACGACACATCAAAGGTATATGTTACTCCAGGCTTTTGAGATGCCAACAAGCTATAACAATCTTGCATTATCTGCGTCCCCCTATTGCGTCCTCAAAATGTCTCAAAGCACTTTGCTCGATTTAGTGTAGAGTGAAATGACTTTAATATATAAGTAAAATGCAGCAGCTAATTTACACATAGCAATGTCCCACAAATAGCTATGAAGTGAACGATCAATTTTTTTTCTGTGGATTGTTAGTCAGGCCATAAGAAGAAATTCCCTTCTCTTTGAGCCTGAGGTAAGAGTGCTACCAAATGAAACAGACTGACAGCTATCGACAAACTATCCACAAGAAAGGATGGAAATTATAAATGTTTATCCAGGTGCTCTCAAAAATCAGACCAAGCATTCTCTCATATCTGGTCATTCGTCTACAACAATGGATCTTTTTGAAAATGTGCAAGAACTATATTTTCTTGAAATAACTGTCATCACCATTTCTCAGATTTGTTCCGTCAAGTTTCTCACTCCCACAGATCAAAAACTATCTTATCATGGACTTTATCCCACCTATTCTATTTCTTGAAGCGAGTATTGTTTAGATCTTCCCTGAAATACATAGTTGTAAAATAAGGAAATACATTATATTGTAGACGTGATAAGGTGCTAAATCAAATGCAAGGATTATTATTATCACTATGAGTTTGGATTCCTCCCTTTGTAGCACTGAAGCAATAACATATAATAATAATAATAATAATAATAATAATCCTTGCATTTGATATAGCGCTTTTCACGTTGGGAGGACGTCCCAAAGCGCTTCACAGAACACACTGTAAAGTGAATTGACTGTATATATTTCTATATACATGTAATATATATATATTTATATATGTAATAAATATATGTATATATATGGATAGTATTTCAGATCACTAGAAACACAGAGTTAGATTAACACGTTTACCTTACACAGTCAGCCAGGTTCAAAACAATGAGGTTTCTTAGTGATTCTGTGAATTTCAAACCAACATCTGTGATCCTAGGGCAGTCAGTTATACAGAGGATACGCATTTGAGAGCAGTATCTGCAGATGAACTTTAAGGAATTATCAGTTATATGTTTATTGCCTAATGTGAAAACAAAACAGAATCACAATCAAAGAGGCTGCATTATTCAGTAATTAAAGAAAACAATTTGTAGCATATTTTAATGTAAGAAATTGCATAATTTATACAACCATCAATTTTTATCTTGGTGAGCTTCCTCCATTGGACAAGTGCTTTAATAGCTGAATCATATAAATGAGGAGACCCCAAAAGCGATATCGAAGAAAGTTTGTAATAGTGAGCAACCAGAGCCTTCAAGAAAGCATAAACAAAATGATTTGTATTATATCTTTGAATTTCTCAATAAACAAAAAAAAGCCAAGCCCCAATCCTGTCCTCATCCAATATCCATGCATATAGTTTACAGCAGGGGTTACTCGATTTAAATCAAGAACAAGAACTCTGGGTGATTGTTCCTCTTCCCAGCTGAGGAGCGCTGAGAACATTTTCAGTAACCTACTGCCATACTGGTTGACATCATCTGTCAGAACAGAACAGACAGGTATCAAATGTGAATCTTTATGGCTAAGTTACATAGAGGAGAGTGTCATTCGAACTATGCTATCAGAGGAGCTGAATACATTTTTAAAATATACTTTTCCCCATGAACTGTGCTTCAAATACTCAGGTGATGTTTCTCAATCAGGAAAGCTGGCCCACCTTCACACTTTCGTTTTGAGACAGTGGTGGTAAGTTTTCTCTGTCTGCTTTCTTCTTTTTCGTTGTTGCCATTCTGTGGCATCCTTGATAACTCATTCAAGATTCACAACTTGATATCAGGATAAATTCCACTATGAACCATACTCCTTAAAAAAAGTTTGCTTATCATTTTTTAAAATGTCTACTCTATACAAAGGATCATCTTACATAGATGATTACAGATACTTGCAACATCTATAGCATAATTTGACAAAGCCACAAATAATAAAAATAATATTTGTTACCTTGTTTCCTCCTGTTTATGAGAATTCTTCATGGGTATAATACATACAGAGGTCCACATTTACACATATTATAGATAACCTTGCTTCTCATTTGTGAGTAAGACACCAGGAGAAAGTTGGTGAATAATTAAATTATAGCTAACGTTACAGGTTGGTTTCATATACTTACTACAATGCAGGAATCGGTAAGAGTTGCCATGTCATTGATGATAAGATGCTGAACCTCATTGCATGCAATGGATAATGCTTTGAAGCCTTTTACAGAGATCTAATAATGAAAAAATACAGATGAACAACAGGAAGGATGCCAAAACATAGACAGAAGTCAACCTTTGGGTGATTTTTCCTCCATTGTAGAAATAGATAACATTTTTTATAGTAGTTTTGTGTGTGCAATAGATAAAGAGCAAATACATAAGCACGCAACTGAAACTAAGATAGAAGGCTTTCAAAATTGAACCTAATGATCTTGCAAATGTTGGTTAACTATATAATTACATGCAGAGCTAGTAATGCTATGTCATTAATCACATGGACCACAATTGTCCATTGAGGACAAAGATGACCAGTCTCTGAAATCTGTTATGCATTTCCTGAAAAGGTTTGCAAAGCTATTGGCAAAATATTAATAAATGCCATTAATTTAGGCAATTAAGATGGGGCATTTTAGTTTCTAAATACTGTATTGAAGTGGCCTATTGGTCCTGTTGAAAACCAGTGCTAATGAAACACAGAAAGTGCAAAGTAAAATGGACTTTACTCCTGTCCTCACTAGCAACATTGAGGGAGAGTGTTCCAGAGCCTTGTGGTGTAGTGGCTGAAAGCGCGACCTCCGATGGTAGGGCGGAGAGTGCGAGGGAGGCCAGTGTCAGTCGAGCGGAGGCTCCTGGTGGTGGACTGGGGAGTTAGGAGGTCGGAGGATTAGGGAGGTGCCAGACTGAAGGGATTTCAACACGAGTGTGAGGATCTTGAAGTCGATCCGTTCGGTGATGGGAAGTCAGTGGAGCCTGGGCCAGAACTGGTGAGATGTAGTCTAAATTTCGCACTACTTCGGTGAGTGTGAGGGAGAGCCCAGGGAGGTTGAGGGGTTCAGATCCACAGTAGTGAAAGCGTTGATGGGAGCCAAGGAGTATTGCGTCTTGTCCACATTCAGCTGCAGGATGTTTGCGCTCATCCAGGCCCTGATGTCTGCCAGACAAGCTGATAGAACATCGGCGGGCCTGGAGTTGGTACTAGAGGAGACAAAGTAGATTTGTGTGTCTTCCGCACACATGTGGAAGTTTACCCCGTATCTGCAGATGACATCGCCCAGAGGCAGCATAAGCAAAAGAAGAGGGCCAAGGATGGAGCCCTGGGGTACCATTTGAAATAAAATAAAATGGAGAAACCATTTGTAGAAATAAAATGGAGGTGGCTGGTTAAGTAGGACTTGAACCATGCGAGTGTGGTCCCACTAATAATAATAATAATCCTTTCATTTGATATAGTGTTTTTCACGTCTAGAAGTCTCAAAGCGCTTCACAGAATATACTGTAAAGTGAATTGACTGTATATTTGTGGGCAAAACGTGGCAGCCAATTGTGCACAGCAGTGTCCCACAAACAGTCGTGGATTGAAGTGACCAATTTATTATTTTTTTTTCTTGAGGGATTATTATCAGGCGTGTGGAGTAAGGCCCAAGGTTTTGCCCTGCTGGAATCAAAACCAGATCACAGGATTCCTACAACTACAGGACTCCATTAAAGTGCAATTTAAGGTCTAACTTTAATAAGAAATTGTTTATTTTGTAGTCTTAATATGCTGATTTATGCAATATCAAATTTGGAAGTAGTTTTTTGTTTGAACCGATCTCCAACCTTTGTTTCCCCCATCTCCAACCTCCCATTCCTCTCCAAGGCCCTGAAACGAGTTGTTGCGTCCCAGCTTCGCTCTTTCCTCGCCCGCCATTCCCTCTCTGAACCCCTACAATCGGATTTCCATGCTGCCCACAGCCCTGGTCAAAGTCACCAACTTTCATTCTGAACATCTGCAACCAGTATCCTCTCTGCCTCCTTGTCCTCCTCGACCTCTCCGCTGCCTTCAACACTATCGACCATTCTATCCTCGTTCACCGCCTCTCCTCACAGCTCAATCTTCGCGGACCTGCCCTTGCCTGGTTCGAATTCTACCTCTCCCACCGTTTCCACTTTGTCGCCACTAACGGTTTCTCCTCCAGCCGCACACTGCCACATGTGGCGTTCCTCAGAGCTCTGACCTTGGGCCTCTTCTTTTCAATATCTATATGCTCCCTCTTGGAGACATCATCCGCAGTCGTGGAGTCAACTTCCACATGTATGCGGATGTAACCCAACTCTCTGCCTCCACCCTTGACTCCAGAACCACTGCTGTGCTGACAGAATGTCTGTCAGACATCAAGTCCTGGATGAGAGTTACCTTCCTGCAGTTGAATGTCAACAAGACCGAGGCTCTCCTGCTTGGTTCCCGTCAACGCCTCAATAACATGTGCGCTGACAGCATCTCCCTCTATGGATGCACTGTACATCTCATGGAGCCAATATGGAACCTCAGCATCCTGTTTGATCCTCAACTGTCCATCATACCCCACATCCGTGCCATGATTCACTCCGCCTTTCCCCATCTTTGGAACACCACTCGGCTCCACCACTGTCTCACACAGCAGGCACCGACACCCTCATACACTCATTCAAAACATGCAGGCTCGACTACACAAACTCCCTGCTTGTCGGCCTCTCCATCTCCTCCCTCCACAGGCTACAGATCGTCCACAACTCTGCAGCCCGTGTCCTCTCCCGCACCAGGCTCCGTGACCCTATCAGCCCCATCCTCACCCGACTCCACTGGCTTCCCATCACACAGAGGATACAGTTCAAGATCCTGGTCCTCACTTTGACCCTCCATGGTCTTGTTCCCACCTACCTCTATGACTTCCTAACCCCCTACCAACCTGCCTGCTCCTTCCGCTCAGTGGGCTCCGGCCTGCTTCACGTCCCTCACCTTGCCTGCCCCACCATTGACGGGTGGGCCTTCAGCCACTCTGCCCCCATCCTCTGGAACTCCATCCCACAGTCCCTCCGTCTTGCCCCCTCCCTTGCCTCCCTCAAGACCTCTGTCAAGATCCTTTTCGACCGTGCCTTCGGTCATCCTCCTTTCCCTCCTGCCCTGCACCCAAATAATGGTGCCCCCATCAAAGCATTTCTTGGTCAACAACTCTCTCTTCAACGCTTTGTAAAGCTTATAAAATTTCACAAACAAGTTGAAAATGCATGTTTCAGTGAAACAGCCATGCCTCACAGAAATAAAAGTATGCATTCAAACTTTTGGCTGGGAGAGGGAGGGGGAAGTCTGTTGACGCCGTGAGTGTGAATCTACCAGATCTATTCCTCAATTAACAATAATAACAATACTTAAATTTAATATAGCCCCTTAGCACGTCGTTGAGGCATCTCAAAGCACTTCAAAGAATATACTGCAAAGTGAATTGACTGTAATTTCTGGAAGAAATTCGTTCGCCCACGTTCGCCCACAAATATACAGTCAATTCACTTTACAGTGTGTTCTGTGAAGCGCTTTGGGACGTCCTCCCGACGTGAAAAGCGCTATATCAAATGCAAGGATTATTATTATTATTATTAAATGCCAATTGCGCACAGCAGTGTCCCACAAACAGTTGTGGATTGAGTGACCAAATTATTAATATATTTTTTAAAAATTTGAAGGGATTATTATCCCCAGAAAATTTATGTGGATGGAAGATATTACTGTCGCATCTTTGCTGGGACTTCGCCAGACAGCAGGTAACAGATTAACTATAAAGATGATTTCACTTCCTCACATTATCCCTAAGAGAGTTAGTAAATATTCTTTGTGCTGTAATGTAATTCAATCTTACTTTCCACATGTCAATGATACCACTGGTTAAATAATTCTAGCCACTGAAAATCTTTTGACTAGCTCTATGGAAAAAATCCTCAAAATTAGATATCTTCCAATAGAAAAGGGCATTGAGCAGTAAAACTTACTGTTGTTTCTTAGCCCATTGCTTATTTTATTTAGCACAGCAATTCACCCATAAACATAGTCTCTACACTTTACAGTAAATCCTCTTAAGCTCTTTGAGATGTTTCAATGACATGATGAAGCGCCATATCAAATGCAAGGATTGCTATTAGAACAATATACTGTAGTCAGTTTCCTGTGCTTTTTTTTCCATCGCCATTTGAGAAGTCAATCAGGAAGGGCAGCTACTTGGGAATAGAGGCATATTGATTTTGTTAAATCTTGACTAAAGAATGGTGGCGATGAGTGAGCAATAAAAACACATTTGCTATGTTTCTTAACCCATTCCTTGCCTAATTAACACAAGGAATGTGTTAAGAAACTACTGTAAATTTTATTCCAGGGTTACTGTTTATCTGATTTATGCAGTTATACAAAGCAAAGTTATTTGACTGTAGCTTTATCTCTTGCTAACTGTGAGTTGCTATTGAATATATCTACGTAGAAAGAAAAACAAACTTTAAGAGACTCGGGGGTTCATCACGCACTGTTCACAAAAAACACAGATTTCCTTATGTGTTGAGAATGGTATGTCCCGCCATAAACACGAAACAAAAAACATCATTACTTTAACAACTGGCCCGCATCTCACATTGCAGTTCAATTTCAGAACAGACACTCTACTCTTTGTGTGCACATGTGGTCTCTTATCGTCTCTTTTAATCTCAGTCTGACAGTACCATGTGGTGAATGCACCATTTGAAAACAAATTAAAAAGCTATAACCGATTTAGAATGGTTTCATTTACTTTTCTCCTTCTCTTCATCTTAATTGGTTTTATGATAATAAATAATACTTTTGGTCAAATAGTGAGTGGGAATGGCATTAAAGGAAATACTGAGCCTATGAGGTATTAAAAAACTGACTTAATATGCAAATATGCATTGGCTATGTTATTTCCCACTATTACCACTTGAGTAACAACATAGAATACATAGATATTATACAACATCGGAACTGACCATTCAGCCCAACTAGTCTGTGCCAGTCTTTATATTTCACATAAGTCTTTACCAATCCTAATGTCCTCGCTCCCTTTCTTCCCCTTTATTCCATTCATAAGATGGAATTTTAAAAAATGGTGTTGATAGAAATTAGTTAATTAATGCTATTCAAAACTAGTGTTCTTTCATAGAAGTGTACCGCTTAAACAACAACAACAACAAGATTACATTTGTATAGTGCCTTTCACGTTGGGAGGACTTCCCAAAGGATCCAACCAAATGTGGGTAACAATCACAAGCAGGCAAGGCAGTGGAGCTGAACCTTTTGTTTCTGGGAGTGTGTGGGGTATGCAAGGGGGGCTGAAAATTACAACTACACTCAACAGCATCGATAATAACATATTGGATACAGACCATGCAATGAAACCAGACACCAAAGAGGCAGACAGCCATTACCTGAATGTAAGAAGTGAGGTGCATGGTTTTAAACAGCTAGACTTTACTCTTCTGTTGGAGGAAATTTGATATCTCTCTGGTCTGTCAGTCACGTGGAATTCTGCCAAACGCTTGAGGAAACAACTTTTTTTTGGCAGCAGAGACTTCTTTAAGTTCACAGAAGCTGAACAGCCCCCTCCCCCTTCCTGCATTACTCAGTTCGCAGCTCAGAACTGGGGACTGACTGTAAACCTCGCAGATGTTCGAAGGATACCGTTTGTGCTGACACAACAGAGTTCTGAGGCACCAACCTGAGTGCAGCCTGAAAGGTCCAGGTAGATGAGTCTGTGGCAACCCTTTCCTGAAGCCAGGTAATTCAAACCTCTATCTGAGAATCTCCGACAGAAGGCTACACTGAGATACTGGAGATTCAGGCAGCACCTTAAAGAACAAGGAGAGTGGATTCAGGCTACATCACTATAAAGACATGCAAAAGGCAAGCTCGTTTTTTTGTAAGTTCAAGTATATAAAAAAGCTTTGTAAATGCAATGGTAAAAGTTAATAGGAAAAAGGCACAGAAATGAAACAAGAGATGATTAGCATCTTGCTCGAGTTTTACAATCTGTGTTTTTTGGCAGCATTAAATGTAAAACAGAGCTCGCAAGTGATACCATTTGAAATGCACAAGAATGGAATGTGCACTGCACCTTTCCTGTAAGTGTTTTAGAATGTTTATTTTAACTCACGATAAACAACCGTCAGCAGATATACAAATCAGTAATTGTAAATTATTACTATTCAATAGGGTGAGAGATCAAAGTAAAGGCAGGAAAAATACATTTACTGTGACATAAAAGTGCATGCTATGCTGTTTACAGAGCTACAAGTATTCATAAAAGGCAGCAAAAGTGAACTGAAAACTATTTTTAGTGACAGTATTTTTGTCTTGTAAGAGATGTATGTTTCACTCACATGTTTTCAATTAACTCAAGAGCAGACCTTGTGTGGTTTGAACAGAATGGGTCAGATAACTTGAAGCCTAATGAACATTGCATTATTTACGGAACATGGCTGTTTAAAAATGTTTCCACTGGGGAATGAGTTCAAATTCTAACAGAAAATGTTGAGGTTCCTGAAATTTCTTTGTGGATAAAGATATATAGTTATTGATATTAGTTTATCAAGGACCAAAGAGATACTTTTGCAAAAGAACTCTTGTTTACCTCTTAAGTACTGAATTCCTTACATAATATTTAGTATATAACATCAAACGGCATAACCGAGGCATGTTTTCACAGTAAAGAAACAATAGGGAAAGCAGTATGTGTTCAATGCTAGGTCCTGCACTCCAATCGAGGAGACAAAAATTGCATGTACTGTATTTAGGTTCCCCTGGAGGTCAAGTTTCATAAGTCACAGCTGGGCTATCCAGATCATATTCATAAAGCTGACTGTGTATCATTTCCTGCACTCACAAGATCCCTTTAGATGAAGAAAGTCATGTCCCATTTGATCTCACCCTTCCAGAACACCCACCCATCACAGCATCAAGCTGTTTCTTTAAATGAGTCCTATGTCCTGGCCTCAGCTACCCTTCCCGGAAAACTGTTCCGGTTGTTGATTACCCTCCAGGTAAAGAAATACTTCCTGAAGCCTGTCCTGAAATTGCCTTTCTACAACTCTAATCCTAGAGTTTTCTCAGTGCATCTGGAAGTACTGTTCTGGGTTTTCAATCCGATTTAAAACTTCATGTAACTCTATAAGGTCCACTCTGAGAATTCCTCTTTCAAGATTTAAGAACTTGATCTTGTCTAATCGTGACACTGTCTCTAGGGCCTGCATAGCTCCCTTACCTCAGTGACCAGAATTATACAGAGTATTCTAGGTGTGACCTGACTCCAGAACATTAGACCCTGAGTATAACTTCCAGGGTTCTGAACTCAACTGATTTGGCAATATAGCCAGGCATCCTGTTGGCTTGTTTATTGCTGCTTCACACTGTTCTGATATAGTGAGTAATGAGTCAACTAAAACCCCTAAGATCTTTTTCAGCTTCTCCTTTGGCAGTTTCTGTCCCATCCATGCAGTACATGTGTTTTTTATTCTCACCTTACATCTGTCTGAACTTTATTTGCCAATTATTTGCCCACGAGCATACTATAGCTCTCTCTGTAATTATTTTGGTGCCTCTTCTGATTTGACCGTCCCCCCACCTTGATGTTTTTTGCGAATTTAACTATCTTACTTTGAGTCTGCGAATATAGATCATTAGTGTAAACACATACCCCAGTACAGAGATACCCCGAAAGACATCTCAAAGCTCTTCACAGAATATACTGTAAAGTGAATTGACTGTATAAATGTGAACTAATATTATATTAATTTCATTTAATATAATATTATAATATTATATTAAATGAAATTATTAAATTATTAAATTAAAATATAAATATTAATTTATATTAAATGTAAATATGAATACCTTTATAGTTTCAGTATGCTCAAGGCTACTCCCTGGAAAAATGACCAATTGATCATGTTGACAGAGATTTCCAGAGCCTAAATATGGAGATTATTGTGTAATGGAAGAAGGTAAAATAGGAGAATGCTATAAATTAGACAGCAGTAGTATTGGTAACTTACTTGGATAATGTCCTCATTGAAACATCACTAATTGTAGTGTAAGAAAGGTTGAGGAACAGAATTGATGAACAATTTTCCAAAATGACAGCCAAATATTCATCCTAAATATGGAAAAAAAAGTCAGATCAATGAAGCAGTTATCAAAATAGTCACATATGAATTTTGGTTTGGTTTCACTGAACAAAAAATGTTTTTTGTTTATTTATATTGGTCCCCATTTCCCCAACAGATCAAGTTGAGGATCCTTGCCTCACTTTTAAATCCCTCCACGGTCTTGCCCCAGCTGACCTCTGTGAGTGTAAAGTTCATAAAAACATCTTGATTTTGACTGAGTTGTTACCCAGACTATTTGTAAAGACGACATCCAGTGCTGACAGGCATGAGTTCCCTAGGAAATGAATTGAGAGTTTTTGAACGAAAGTGACGATGCGAATGTGCTGGGGGCTCGAAAGAGAATTGAAGGAGAAAGGACTGTACACTGTTAAATGATCTGTGCACCAGGAGTGGCCATAGAGAAACCTGTGGTTCTCTGCAATAATTCAAGTGTGTACTCGGAGTGAGGAGTAGGAAATCTTAATGATTAGTGAATTAGAAGGTCATAGTGTAATCTTAAAGGTGTTTTTCTTGGTGCATTCTTACGTATACACATACAATGAAGATGGAAAAACAACAACAAAATTACATTTGAATAGTGCCTTTCACACTGGGAGGACATCCCAAGACGCTGGACAGACAGAATTTCGGACCTGAGCAAGCGGTCGGAATCGGGGAGGATGGAGGGCAGGGTGATCGAAAGCATGGTCAAAGAGGAGGGTCTGGAGATGGGTCTTGAAGGAGGCAGGGATGGGGTGAGGTAGAGGGACTCTGGGATGGAATTCGAAAGGGTGGGGGCAGAGTGGTAGAAGGCCTACCCGCCAATAATGGGGTAAGCGAGGCGGGGGAAATGACGCAGGCCAGAACCCGCTGAGTGGAGGGAACGAGCAGGATGGTAGAGGCTTAGGAGATCACAGAGGGAGGGGAGAAAAATCACGGAGGACTTTGAAGATTGAGAAATTTGAAAACTGAGAAATCACAGGAAGGACTTACCTAATAAGCAGGAAAAGTCTGGTCTTAAACTGGGAGAGCTTACATATTTGCAGACAGGAATCTTATGTAAGATTGGATGTATGGGTGCTTGGAGATTTCAAGTCATTTTTATGCTAAAATAATGGCACTACCATTGTGTACTTATTTATTCATAACCCATATGTCTACCATATACCATGTAAGCTGGCCTTTTAATCATTGCCATATTGCAAAAATGGTTTAACTGTTATGGTGAGCCAGACATCTAACACACATCCAGGGCTGTACATAAGCATATCCAAACCAAACCACTGAGAATTTTTTTGGCTATAAATTTCCTTTTGTCTGGTTCGGAGTACATACTCTTTCCCTCGGGGGATGTGATCTGCTTGAGAAATACAGTATCTCACAAACAAACAAATAAATTAATGATTGCCCTTCGTATCTGAAGATGGTCGTTCACACAAAGTGAACATCTGGGTGAGTGAATTGGTTTATAGTGTAGAAGCTGCTACCCACACAGCAACTAAACTTTAGATAGCAAGCACTGTAACCTGATGTCAAGGAGTGTCCGAGAAGTCCAGACCACTTGCTAACTGCTCTGGCAGATACCGTTATCCCTGGAAAGCGATCCACCAATCATCTAACAACTGTGTTCCTACTTACTCCTAGGTTAGGCAGAGGCATTTGGAGCACGGAAATTTGCCGAAGGTTTCGCCCCACGAATCAAACCTGGGTCCACTCGCTACCAAGGCGAGGGCACTAACTACTATGCTACGGAATTCCTATATAAATAATTATCAAGCTAGATTACCTCAAACAAAAAAAGAACTACATCTATAATACCTAAATCATAGCATAGCAATATAAATAAATGCTGCAAATCAGGAAAAAAAATTATTGATAATAATGCAAATCTATACATGAAAGTTTTACATATATCAAATTTGTTAATTAAAGTTATCCACTGATAAAAAAGGAACATACATTCCAGCTTCTTTATATATATATATTGATTAGTTCATTGTTGACTGTTCCTGTGGTATAATTTTAAGATTATGATGACATGAATTATCTAAAATTTTAGCAATTAGTTTTCAAATTCCTTGCTTTTGCATTCATCCACCGATGCAAATATATAATCATGCATTGTGCACATTGTTTTCATGATTCTTGTACCAATGTGCATTTGCTTACATCTTTTTGCATTAAAATCGATTTCCCATTCTGTACTTAATTCTCATTAAAATACAATAAATTTCCCCTGTATTATGCATCTGACTACACCTCTTGGTATTATCAGCAAATTATTTAGGAACCTTCTCCTTAACACAGAGCTGAAGATGCCTGATGAACTAGCAATAGTCACTGTGTTTTCTATTGCAAGCACATTTTTAGGCCAGCTAGCTATTTAATGACATTTACTTTGATCATCCTTAAAAGACACTTTGTTTTTTCAGTTTTCTTTCTCCTTTTTCCTCTCTGGCTTTCCTTTGTTCTTTGTTTGTCATTGGGCAAACAGAGACTGCTCCTATGGCTTGGTTAATGCAATACTTTAACATGGCATCAGTCCTGACATAACTATGATCTGAAATTAGCTCCCTCTCTATTTTTGTTTATTTGTTATTCTACGTCAATGGCCCTTAGCCACTATTTGGTACCAAAGACTCTTCTATTTTTAAATGAAAAATGCCTGAATTCAGCTTGTGGGGGATATTCCACATAAAATACAATAAGTGCAGTTTGATTTCAGCTTTAAAAAATGCACTAGAGCCCACTGCTCCAAATAAAGTAATTGAAAAGACTAATGCTGATCCAAATATGGATCCACTCTCAGTGAAATCTGGCACTGTACATGAGTATCACAGAAACTGTAAAATTATGATTCAATGTATTCCAGTTCCTTGCACATTTTAAGAAATGATTGTTTTTGGACAGAAAACATAGACTGCTGGATGATATCACCAACAGTCATTGTGCCAAGTAGCAAAATTCCCATCCAATAGTCCCAAAAATATTCTAATGCAACTATCTTTCACGTAACAGTGAGAAAAGTATTGTAACCTGGACCTGAGAGCAATCTATATGCAAAAACAAATTTATTAACTCAGATGCTAGCCAAAAACTCATGTGTGGAGGGTACAGCATATAAGAGAAGTTTGGATCCACACTTTGATTGTTATTTGAACTTTCCCACCAAATTAGGCATGAATTGGTATTAATAACATGGTTGTTAAGAGTGGAAGTCAGGTCCACTCCTACCTCTATTGGGCAGTTAGAAAAACTGCCTTCTGACAGAATACAAAGGGTGGTGGGTGACAGCAGTGGCAAGAGTAGGAGAGATACATGTTTCAAACTACATAGTACGCTTTTGCTACAACAAAAACAACAAGATTGCATTTATAGAGCGCCTTTCACGTCAGGAGGACGTCCCAAGGCGCTGGACAGTTGGGTCGGGACCCGAGCAGGGGGGAAATGGTCAGGGTGCGGGGAGGGAAGGGAGGGAGCGAGGAGGGGGTAGAGAGTCGAGGGGGAGCTGAAGGCACGGTTGAAGAGAAAGGTCTTGAGACCGGCCTTGAAGGAGGAAAGGGAGGAGGCGGCGAAGGCACTGAGGGATGGAGTTCCAGAGCCTCGGGGCTGAGAGGCTGAAAGCCCGGCTACCGATGATAGGGCGGTTAGGGCGGGGGATGTGGAGAAGACCAGAGCCAGAGGAACGTAGGGTACAGGCAGGTAAGTAGGGGGATAGTAGGTAGGAGAGGTAGGAGGGAGCAAGGCCGTGAATGGCCTTGTAGGTGAGGATGAGGATCTTGAATTCGATCCTCTGGGGGATGGGGAGCCAGTGGAGGCGAGCGAGGGTGGGAGTGATGTGGTCGCGAAGCCTGGTGCGGGACAGTACACGAGCTGCAGAGTTCTGAATGACCTGCAGCTTGTAGAGGGAGGTGCCAGGAAGGAGAGAGTTCCCATAGTCCAGCCTTGAGGTGACAAAGGCGTGGACCAGGGTTTCAGCAGCGTGAGGGGTGAGGTAGTGCCGTAGTCTGGCGATGTTCCGGAGGTGGTGGAAGGCGGTGCCAGTTGTGGCGCGGATGTGGGGAAGAAAGGACAGCTCAGGGTCGAACAAAACGCCGAGGTTCCTGACTGGCTTTGAGAGGTGGAGAGTGCAGCCTTGGAAGCTGATGTTGTCAGCGCCTGAGATACTCATACTGGAGTTTGAAACATTGGAGCTGTCTCTCTAAGAACCGATTGAATTTCATCCAGTTTCTATCTCACAAATAAATTATTGTCTGGATTCAACAACAACAACTTGCATTTATATAACACCCTTCACATGGCGTAGGGTCCCGGAGCAATTCATATTATTCTCCTCACTTCTGAAACAGAGATATTACCAACTGTATCTCCACGAAGAACATCAATCTGCTCCTCAGTTTAGTCACAAGCAGTATGCTTAAGTAATGCAATGAGGAAGTCTTTTATTCTCTCCATATCCCCACATATCCCTTTGGGGGGTAGGGGGAGGATCTAAGTGGAGACTCCTTGGAACTGAGCTTGCTCCAAGCTGAGGCACGGAATGTCAGAATCGAGTCAACCATTTGTGGCAGTCTTGGTAGTCCAGTTCCTGAGCCAGGTGGGTCTGCAGTACTCCACAGCACTGCTCAGGACAAACAGTGCAGCCTGTCTCATTGGCTTGGATGGCCAGACCAGTCACTGAAAGAGGATAGTCTAAACTCCGTGAACCAATCAACCGCCCGACTTCTCTGGTTCCCCAATCCCCCAAGGATCGAGTTCAAGATCCTCGGCCTCACCTTTAAATCTCTCCATGGTCTTGCTCCTCCCTACCTCTGCGACCCACTAAACCTTTACCAACCTATCCGCTCCCTCTGCTCGGTGGGCATTCGCCTACTCCAAGTCCCCCTCGCTGTCTGTTCCACCATCGGAAGTCTGGCCTTCAACCTTTCCGCCCCCACCCTCTGGAACTCCATTCCGAAGTTCCTCCGCCTTGCCCCCTCCCTTGCCCCCTTTAAGACCCATCTGAAAACCTTCCTCTTCGACTGTGGCTTTGGTCACCTTCCAACCCCCACCTCCCCTTGCCCTCCACCCCTCTTGATTTGAATACCTGGGTCGGGTGCAAATCCTTAGTGTCCAGCGCCTTGTGTTGACTTCCTGATATGAAAGGAGCTAAATACTTTACAAATGTAATCTTGTTGTTGTTAAATGCATTTTTTTTGTTGTTAGTCCAAGCTGTAAAAGCAGTGAGCTGTTTGCCATACAGTGCTCTCAATGGCAAGCTAAGTGGTTTTAGCTCGCTAAATTCAATCAGTCCACCAATGCAGACTCTGGGTCCCTAAGCTTTGGCTCTTGCCAACTTGTAATATTCTCTGGAATGAAGTAAGCAAAGTGTATCCCTCCAGGGAGAGAGTGCACATTCCAGTCAGGCACAGGGAAATTTCATGCTTCACATATTCAGTATATTAGACATTCAGTCAGCTTTGCATAACCTTTTAAGTTGATGGATCTCTGCATGTGCCAGATATCCTGTTGACCAAAACCGAAATCCCAACAAACAACATAATGTTCTGTTAGGTTTTCCTCCCCTCTCGGAACAATGGTGAAGATTGATAAAAAATATTGGTTGTCAAGGCTAGACAATAGAGAAATTAAAAATTGCGTTATGGTTATTAGTCGGAAAAGTAGCAGGAAAGTCCTGCATAATGGTCGGGTAAATGTATTGGCTGATGTTACATCAAGTTGATGTTGGCTGATGTTATGCTAAGCTGTGCAGTCCAGCAAGATCCCAAGTTTCAACACAAGTCTATGCTATGTCGGCAAACCTCACCTGGACCAGTATTGGGGAACTACCTTCAGGAAAAGAAAGAACTGGAAAAAGAAAAGCAGCAAAAATGTTGTACTCACAGTTAAACCTGCACATCCAGATAAATTCAGATCCTGAAGATTTCGACATTCACCTGAAATATATAATCAACCATGTAAGGTTCACCACCCAATACAGGTGGTGTGAATTACAAATCTTTTAATATCATGCACAATTCAAAGGTTAATGCTTTAACACATACAATTATTATATTGTTAAGTTACATTAAATGCAAGGATTATTATTATTAAAGCAGTAAGATTCAACAAAAACGATATTACCCAATTCCATTGGGGAAGTCACTGGCCAGCCTAGCCTCACAGCTGTTCCTCCTATGATAATTCCAACTATTCCAAAGTTACATCTTCTATATGTTTCTAATTCCATCTCCCCTTGTCACAGAGATAACCCTCACCCTTTGCAGGCTGCTAGTGATCTTTGAGCAGGCTCTTTTCGCATGGGAAAATAACTGATAAGAAAAAGAGATACGGACAGCTAATTTGGAAGAATTCCTGTTTCTTAGTCTTGAGCTAATCAGATGTCCAGGAGGTCTCTGACACCCTTGTTTTCACATCTGTGCTCAAGGACATGATACTCAATTCCTAGATGGGAGGACGATCAGAACCTGACCTCAGCTGAGGTCAAGCCAATATTTCAACTTAGTTAACGTTAATTGGCAAATGTACCCTCTCAAGGGCCCTCAGTCAGTCATTAAAACTCACAGCCTCGTCTATGCCTTAATAAGTACGGAATGCTACATTAAACAGATTGTAAGTGTTTAGTTATATTTTAAAAGTATACTAATTAAAAATCTTAAAAACAGTAAGCATCACCAATATAATCATACAATCATTAGGCACTATTAGGCAGTAAACTGGAATGTTCATGTCACATAGGAAACAGGGACAGACTATTTTTCAGGGTGCATACCCTGTCAAATTCCTTCATACCCTGGCATCTCCCTAACTCTCCGACCTGCTTACTCCGCAACCCACTGCATGTCTCCCGTACCCTCCGTTCCATCTTCACCTGCAGTGACCGCACTTTCAGCCACTATTCCCCGAAACTCTGGAACACTCTTGCTCCATCTCTCTGCCTTGCCACCTCCTTCCCTCGCGCCTGAAGATTTTCCTCTTCGCCGTGCCTACAGTCACCACCCCCCGGCTCGGCATCATACTCCACCACTGTGAAGCGCTCTGGGACGCTACTCTGTGTGAGGGGTGCTATATAAATACAAATTGTTGTTGGCTCGGAAAATTTGTGTCCGCCTCCTGTCTTTCTGCAAATGACAAATACTTTACAAAACAAAGGTACATATTCTGAAAACATTGTTTTTTGGAGCGCATTGGTGTCAATATGCTTATTACTTTACAACTGTTTAAGACATCAGGTGCAAACTGTCGACTGGATGTCCTCCCAAGGTGAAAGGCACTATATAAATGCAATTTGTTGATGTGTATTTTGTCTGAGCGGTTAGAGCTTTTCTAAATTACTGAAATATGTTATGAACAATATATATATTTTTCTTTACAGCTTTTTAAGGAGTGACAGTTTCATATCTGCCTGAAGCTCAAAACAACCTAAGGCTCAAATTTCATTCAATTTCCCAGTTATTTCTACATTACTAGGACCAGCTGGATATCAGGATGCAAATGGTTAAGATTATTTTGTTTCTCCTGCTTTGTACAGCAGTGGAGCTGAGGAAAATAAGGAATGGCAGGAAGGAAAACCGAAATAAACATTGCGGTGCAAAATGCATGAGAAAGCACTCAAGTCATGTCAAAAGATTTGCTCATCCACTCAAGAATATATGTGAAGAGAGCTTGTACTATTCTGAGAAGGTTCTCACTTGTCAAGATAAGCAACTCATCACAATTCCATCCAACCTGCCAGATGACATTGTTCATCTACAACTAGCAGGAAATAAGATCAATAGGCTGAAGGATTCTATGTTTTCAACGTTAAAGAATTTGAAGAGCCTTGATTTGCAACGCAATGACATTACTACCATCCAACCAGGCGCTTTTGAGGGGTTGGATGACCTGAATACATTACTACTTCAACACAATCAACTACGATTTTTATCGGAAGAAGTCTTTATCCCTATACCTAAACTAAATTATCTGCGGATCTATGACAATCCCTGGGATTGCAATTGTAATCTGGAAGATATGGTTAGGAAGTTGCAGGTTCCTGGCCACAAAAACCTGGGAAATCTGGCCAAGTGCAAGTCTCCAAAAGTTTATGTTGGTCAAAAGTTGAAAAAGATCAATCCGGATTGGCTATGCCCTAATAATATCTTCAGCAACATAAGCGAAGTAATGGATCCTCCTAGTTCTATCCTCAAAGAGGTTGATTTCACACGTTGTCATATCTACCTTTTCCCAAAGCCACAAGTAGATTGCCAAGATAAAGGTTAGTGTGATTTAAGCATTAGTATCCTCTTGATTGCTCTGAACTGGTAACCATTCATTTGCAAATTTATATGAAAATTCTGCATGTCGAAATTGAGATATTGACGTAATCCTCAGCTGTATTTATTTACACCAGAAAAATGCTTAGAAATATGTGTTTCATGATATTTGAATGGGCGTTAATCAAATTTGAAAAGTGACATTTAACTGGGCATTCTGTAAGTTGTCTTTGGGGTTGTATTGGCTTGAAACAGATATGCTTGGAGACCCAGCGGGTCGACAGTGATCTGTGGAATTGTTGATAGTTGATCAACACAACTTTGAGGTTAGCTACATCCTCAACTATAGTCAAAGTGCTAATGGGTAGGACAGTGTGAGCTAAATAAGTACTTCATTATATTAGTCATATAATGTTCATTTCATGGTGTGTTTCAAGTCCTGTATGTCATGTTACAGTATCACTAAGCCACTTTCAGCATGGTTTAAATATCTCATCTGAAAGATAGCTCCTATGATAATGCTGACCTCCCCACTACTGCATTAGAGTGTTAGTCTAGTCTATGAACTAAAGTCCCAAAATGGTCCTTGGCCCCACAATCTTTAAAACATTCACACAAGGTAGCAAATAAGTAAATGTTTAAGAAAACTCATTATTTGAGTTACTGCTCAAGTTAGATTTGAGTTACTGCTTTGTTTTCATGGTTTAGGACATTATCTCAATTTAAGGGGGTAGAGACGGAGCACAATGTATCAAACCAAATCACTCTTCTTTGGAAAGTTCTGAAGAGTTTTGTAAGGGAATAGTTTAAGACTGGAGTTTTGACTATCTTGGAGGTTAAGATGCATTGGATCATGGGGCAAACAAACTATATGCTGAAGGGCAAGCAAAATAACCCACAATAATTGTCTGTGCTGATGTTTTGACAAATAGAGATTCTAGAAGGGATATGTAAGGAATCACAATGACCTTTTAAGATATAAGTGCAAAAGCTTTGGAATCTGAATTTCTTCCAGGTCTGACATGGAGTAATGAAAAGCCAATTAGCCTATTTGAATATTTGGATATATGCTATAAGTGGCTATAATAGAGGTCAATGAGAATCAGAAGTAATTTGGGGAAATGAATAAATACTGGCAACAAAAGAATTGGGTCAGAATTTGTTTGGTACTAACAGGGAAAAATGGTAAGTACAAGCTGGCAGAAAAGCATTGGCTGGTCAATAAGAAAAAATACAAGATCAGAACAAATAATTATGAAGCTTTAAAGATCAAAACAAAAATTATATACTTGAGAAACAGTAGAAATGTGTTATTTTATTCTGCTGGAAGTTAATATAAGTGAACAATTGTAAATATCTTTGTCTGTGACCTTCCAAATAACAGAAGGCAAAATCTTGGGTTGTTGGGTGCTGATGCCAATTGGCAAGAAATTGAAACCTATTTTCACAAATCTGATAACCTTCAGGTTTATAAGTCTTATAGAGTGTTTAAATCTAAGAGTAACATATAAATAAATGAAACACTGACACATTATGCAGTCTAAAAAATGTGAGAATGCTCATTTTACATAAACATTTCCTGATTTAAGAAACTACGTAACTTTCCTTAGACCACTAGCATGTTATGTTTTATGAAGCATGTCAAAAGTGTTGACCCAGTTCAGTCCTCATCTGGTACATGAAAGGCCTATAACAGTTTGATATTACATTACCAATTTTCTTGACATTGAGTGATAACATTTTATATATGTAATTCTGAATATTAAGATATCTAAGCAGATCTAAGACTAGCTAAAAAAATTTAAAAATATTGTGTTCCTATAATTGACACACATACTGGTAAGTCAAAAAACAATTATATTTCTAAACAATAAGTGATGACAATATTGTACCCATTTCCTTGACAATATATCTAGCTATAGCATTTTCGAGTCACTGTACAGTACTTAGAAAAAGATATGGAAAGATTCTGATAAAAACAAGAGAGATGATTACAGTATCACTGAGTAAACAAGACAGTCTTGGGGAGCTTAATTTGTACCTCCTTAAAATGAGATAAGGAAAATGATCTAGGATTTGAATATGAAGGGGAACAAAAGATTGGGTATCAGCCTCACTCAGTGGTAGCATTTTCGCCTTTGGGTCAGAAGGTTGTGGCGTCAAGCCCATGTCAAGACTTGGAATCACATAGATTAAGATGAGGGTGTTGCATTGTCAGAGGTGCTGTTGTTTGGATATGAGTTGTTAAACGAGGTTCTGTCTACCTGTTCAGGTGGACGTTAAAGATCCCATGGCACTATTTGAAAAGCGAAGAGAGTGTCTCACAGTGTCCTGGCCAATAAATCCCCCAAATAAAACTGGTCACTCTCTCCATGGCTGTTTGTGGGACATTACTGTGCGGAAACTGGCTGCCATGTTTCGCCCACAAATTATAGTCAATCCACTTTACAGTATATCCTGTGAAGCTCATTGAGATGTCTCGACAAAGTGATAAGGTGCTACATCATTAGGATTATATTGGTTGTAGAAAGGTATTTTGTGGAGATTCAAGAAATTGGAATCAAAAGACATGACACAAACTAAGAAAGATATTAATTTATGTTAGATCTGTGCATGCTGAGTTGGCTGAAACGTATTAAGTAGTCTTGGGCAGTCTTTTGATTCAACAGGAAGTAAAGAGATGTTGGCTTGACACCAAGATAAAATGGAAATAGCAATTCTGTCTAGGACGTGAAGATTTTCTCCCATATTATTGTTTTAATTAATTATTCTATTATTCAATTTGGTTCAAAAGAAAAATAAACATTCATTTTTTTTACTGTCATTTCTGTACATACAAAATACGGCACATCCTGTCCAAAATCTAACACCTCGTGCTTTACTGTGAATCATTTTGAAATAATTTTGTTTATTTTACATAATCCAAGTGTTTCCACACCAGCATGAACCAAATAGTGATTCAGCACATGAAATACAGAGGATTAATCATCACCCACGTGCCTCAACTCAAACTGAGGCATGTCCAGTCAATGTAAGAAGACATTTGTACTCTTTATACTTACTTCCATCTACAGTGTTGTTATGCCACCTGATATCCAGGTGATATCAGAAAACCTATATATTTTAGGCGAGACTTTGTGACTCAGCAAAGGTAATAAGGCAGCAAATGCCCCATTTAAAAAAGGAAACGAAGAGGCCTTTCCTCAAAGAAACACAAATGGTAAATCACTTCTGCCTCATGTTTCAGTTTGTTTTTAAATAATTTGTGGAGAATACTTGATTATCATTCTTCCCCAATGTAGCAAATTAAAATAGCAGATTTCTGGTACACTTGTATGCCGCGGCAGGCGGTTTAACGTTAAACAGTTTACATATTTAACTTTTGCTGCAGATACGAAAACATATAAAGTAATCCTTTTGTTTTCCATTGTGTAGTTCAGTCTTGATGCAATGTTTCTGATTATATTTGCTTTGGCAAAATCTCAGGCTCTTTCTGAAATTATGAGTCACTTATGCCTTATTTATATAACCCTATTTATGCAACACTAAAAGTGTGCAGCATCAATCAGATTTCAGGGGACTTGTTTAAATCTGAGCCCTGTTTTCAAAAACACTTTGGGGATATTTTTAGGAATCAAATCAATGCATCAGCTGCAATATAAATCAGGTATGTATTTTAAACTTTAAAAAAATGTTGAAAACCTTTTAAGAATTCAAAATAGGCAACATTTGAATAGTAACATGTAAGGTTGCAGACGATGTGATTTCAGAGTGAGAAGCTGTTTTCCACCTTGAAAAAGTATGCTGCTGGAAGTGATACAGATTTCTCCAGCAGCATAAAACTATCAGTGAACAACTGTCATACTAATTCTTCCCAAGTCCAGCAATTGGCAAACGTTACAGTTATTATTTGCTACTGTTGTTAAAAGCACAGAACAACAACTTACATTTATATTGCGCCCCCTCTAGCAGGGTAGCGTCTCAGAGCGCTTGACAGTTGCAGAGTATGACTGCAAGTTATTATTATTATTATGACGCTGAGCCGGGGGGCGGGTGGGTGGGGGGGGAGGTGACTGTAGGCATGGTCGAAATGGAAGGTCTTTAGGCATGATCTGAAAATGGGGCCGAAAGGGGCAAGGTGGAAGGATAGAGGAAGAGTGTTCCAGAGTTTCGGGTTGTAGTGGCTGAAAACCCCAACCACCGATGGTGGAACGATGGTGGAGGGCACGAGGGATATACAGGAGGCCGGAGCTAGTCAACTGGAGGCAATGGGTGGTGGGTTGGGGAGTAAGCAGGTCGGAGAGGTAGGGAGGTGTCATATGTAGAGCTTTATGTCGAGCTATTTTTCAAATAAATTGTAAATGAACACTATAGCAAACCGATAAATTGTAAATTATCAAAAGCAACCGATTATCATGGCGATGGCCACTGTTTATTATATAGCAGTGGAAATACCAAACAGAACATGTAATACAGTATGACTAACATCTTAACGCCTCTTAAAGGGTTATGGCTGGCCCCTTTGTGATTTTCGTTTCTGTCTTCTGAGGCCTATCAACTGAGTTTCACCTGACAATTCTTTATACTTGAATAATTTCTCATGAAACTAGTTTAAGACTCTAGCTTAATGACTCACTGGAACTTTCCATGTGTTAAAAAAAAATTCTTGTAAGAAGGCTTCAATGTTATACGAGTCAAAATGGAATGAAAGGTATTTTTCTTTTACATCAAGAACTGTAAGATTCTTTAAAGCAGTGATAGCCAACTTTTTCGGCTTGATGCCAAATACATTTTTCTTAATTGCTATAGGGGAGGGCCTCACCATAAATATCTCTACTCAGTTGCTCCTGGAAACAAAATATTACTTTAATACAAGCTTATTTAGATTAGTGTGATTTTTGCAATTGCTTGTTCCCCACTAGCTTATCAATCACTGGCTGCAGTTGAGATGTGGCCAAGCCACAAGGTTGGTAAGTCATCCTCCTTCGCTCCTGTCAAGTCT